TGCTAATGTTTTTCAGAATAATATTTTTAAGCCACCACCAGGAAACACCACCACAAAAAGGCCCTGGCTGTTCTAGCAGCAATGAACACACCAACCAGACAAACCTAAAACATTAATGTAGTCACCCAAATTGAAAGTTCCATGTAAGTTCCATCGGATTGCTAAGCTGTTCTGGCAGCACATTGGATCTCACCAGTGTTTTTCCTGCAGTCATAGATCATTGACATGCCTTATACATTGTGTGTTTCCACAGTGTCACTTTCAGTATAAGTCATGAATGAACAGTTTGTTTCACTTCATATCACTTACGTTATTTGTTGGTAAATTGTCCTGTGATATTAGGTGAAAAGTAACATTTGAATGTGATGCATCTGTCTGACATTTTTCTGTGGTAAAAAAGCAACACAAAAAAAATCAATGAAAAAAACCTACACATGTATGTCACCTTGGTATTGAAGAATTAATACAAGAATAATTGTTTCGATTTTTTACAGCCCACAATTTTATGGTTGGGGACATAAAGCATTACAATTGATTATCATTCCCTCGTAATATTGTTTATGCTCATTTACTGTTAAACAGATACAGATGTAGAACGAGGGCTTTTGAGTCACTCACACACAACCAGATTTCACCCTCATGACATTAGGCCTGTTATATCTTAGAGATTATACTGCAAATCATTTTTTTTTTCATCGATGAACTTTAATTTTGTAGGACCAAAGTGTTAACTCTGACAGAGATTCACAATGAAAATAATCTATTTTAATGTTGGTACCTACCGCTTTCATTCAGTTCCATATTTGACGATAAGAAAAATCAAATAATAAATTTTGGATGTATACAACGTGATTTGTACAGTCTTATTAGAACTATAGAGTGATTGTGGGAATCACTGATGCCTTCGACAATGTTTAAAGAGTACATAGACTCAGTTTGTTCAAATCCTGGTTAGCTTTTTGACTTCAAGTATTGATGAACATTCATGGGGAAAAAAAAATAACAAAAGTTTGAAATTTAGTTTGGGGACACTTGATCCTTATCAATATACAAATAAAATGGAGTTATCATATCTAAAACAAAGTCTTCCTCAAATATAGCATTTGTACCACCTGATTAAGCTGACAATGCTTTGAACTTTGAGGTCCTGAAGATCAGGGTAGCTTCTCCATCAATTTGTGTTGTTTACAGTACTTACTTAAGTGTATTGTTGATTGTTTTAGAAAACAATACCTGTGATAATTTCATGAGAAGTTGAACTAAAATTGGGTTTTTTTCTGCTTTGACATGATGTCTATCTCCTAGAACAGGCAAGATTTTTCAAAATGCATATATGATATCTTTTTACATGTGGAAGAAAAATTGGACTTCATGGACATTATAAAAACTTTTCCCCACTAAGCTGTTTACACTAGGTTATGATAACCATACATACATGTATAAGTTCACTGGATGCAACAGAGCAGATGATCCCGTGATATGATGTCAGTGATAATTTACATCAAAGGGAGGAAACCCAGTCCAGCACATATGGCCCAGATGGAGGATGTAGCTTTAATCAGTCTATGGAGCTTAACAGACTGTGATATAAAGTCTTTCAGAATTTGGCTATATAACAACACTTGTCATTTGGCATATTTCTCCTCTACCATTTAGTATCATACTTATCATCCCACACACAACAAACATTTGCCGAACCCTGAAATCACCAGCCCATTGTATTCATACATAAAATCCTTTACATCTCACATAGACAGCTGTATGATGTAGTATCTAATTATAGACGATTATTATTCCCTCCGTTGTCCCTTGTGGCCCCCTGGAGATAAATCAAAAACAGAATCTATTGTGGGCAGTTTTGGAGCAGACTAGGAAATCTCTGGTCTCTATATTGCTTAAACCAATTCATTTTGTTGTGCCAATGTGTAGAAATACTTGTATTATGTAGTTACGAAATTTCATTTAAACTTTTGGCCAAGAATTCAAAATATGTGTCACTAGAAGAAAAATTGATTTCAGATCTTTTTTGCTTTTCTTTTATTTGGTATCAAAAGGACAAGAAAAAGATGAATTCATCGACAGCCAGAGGCCAGAATGTGGAGGCATGACTGGCTCTCAATAATGAAAATACCAAATTCATATCTTCATTCAGGCTTTTTTTCCCGGAGAAAAAAGTTGAAAGAAAACAGAATCAGTCATTTTATATGAAGATAATTCATTTGGTGATAGGAAGGTTGAAACTATAAAATTGTTGGAAAATATGGAATGGTTTCTCAATTTAGTGTCCTTTGAAAATTTACTGATATGACCCAGTAAATGTTATAGTGGCTTGGACCATGTAAACTGCTGAAAAAATGACAACGGCTACAAACCGACAAAGTACATCGAGTTGGTTTGATTGATAACTGGTGTTGACTCATGAAATATGTCACAATTATACACACAGGTATGGATGAAAATGATTTTGTTGTCATGTTTACAAAGACGAGAGATTGATGGTTTGCTTTGTTACCCGGTACATGGGCTAATCTGGAGTCACTTTATACAACATGTATTTACCATATTTTTCCTTTAACAAGCCCAGGCAGCAAAAACAATAACCTTGACTTATGCAAAGTTATGAATTGGGTTTATTACAGGACAGTGTTTGTTGGTGTTTCTACTGAAACTGCAGTAGGTGAGGGTGGGCTTATTACCAGGTGTAGGCTTGCTGCTGGAAAACTACAGTAACATATTCGACCTTGTGACAAGTGCAGGTGTGACCTTGATATGGTTGCTGAGTTTAGGAGCAAGGTCCCCCACTCCCTTAAACTTCTAACCTGTATTACATATAGTGCAAATCAAATGTAATTCTTTTGAGTCATTGTACATTTTCAATAACCATTTTGATAAATACTGCCAAATTTTAGTCGTTAATTCTCTCTCAAGGATTGAAAAAATTGGAAAAACTAGGTAAGGAAAAACCCTTCTTTCACCTCATTTTTTTACATACCTTATTCCTCAGCTTATTTTTTCTCCAATAAAACTGGGGTCTTAGGAACTAGGAATGTCCTTGATTGCACCTGTGCACCAGGACTACCTCCCCCTCCCCCCTCCCTCCCCCTCACCTCCCAACACACACTCACACAGCCATCACCCACCATATATCACATATACATTCATTCATTGCTCCAGTTCCTTCTCCAAGTGTTAACATAAGCCTGGGGTGTCCACTTAACCATAAACTTGCTTAATAAATTGATTTTTAGAACATTTCTTGTAAATCCACATGTATTTATGTATGTATATACTACGTTTAGCTATTAGTAGAAAAAGCATCTGTTGTATTGAGTGTTTCCAGGTTGAAACATCGCTCTTGATGCATGAAACGTCAATTTCAAATAAACTAGAAATTTATGATACATACATTTTAATATCTTTTTGTAGCAATGGATGATATTCCATTGGAAATACGGATATGATATAAAAGGGTTTGTTAGATTCAGGGCCTGAGCTGTCGTAATTCTTCTGCGTTGGATGGTTTTTAGATTTTCCTGCACTGTTTATGATGTGTTAAGTCTCCCAGGCTTGCTATGTAATTTCAAGAACAAAAGTCTATAGGTTTCCCAACTGCAACATCAAATGACATAAAGATCGAAAAGAAAACCAGTTGATATTAAATATTTCATTATCTTCAGAGGTGCCATATGGCTTTTTCCGTGTGATAATTTTATAACTTGACTGTCTCTCCATCTTTCATTATTATGTGACTAAACTCCAGACATCATCATAAGCAATTACCTGTACGTTTACAGATGTCAGGGTACTATGAGTCTTGCCATCAGGTATAGGAACAAAGCTTTCAGATGCACCAGATCATTGAATAATTAATGAAAGTACTCATTTGTCAATAAAAATAATACAACTTCAATGTGGAGCCATTGTATCTTTTTTCACATTGGACTCGGGCTACAAATGTAAACAGTTTTCAGTAATCAAGTTTACACATTTAATCTTATTCCCATAGGCCTTTTTTATTTGTGGAAATGCATATTCATAACTTGTGTGACTGTCTGTCCAAGATATAAACAAAGTTTATACTGGTAAATAAACACGTCCTCCCTCTCATCAAATTTTGTTTCAAATAACACCATATTATTTTGTAACATAAAATTTTACACTTGGTGAGAGAAATTCTTGGTTTTCGATCAAAAGTAGATTTAATCTATTTTGAGGGTCCAAACGGGAGTTAGTTTTTAAGAGTTATTAAAACTTGATTACCTTTTCTCATTTCTACTCTTATAAAACCTTTATCATGACAACTATTAAATATCTACAAGGTTGATTTAAAGAATTAAAAAAATCAAACTTTAAGACTCACATTGATGTATGTGTAATGTTATTGCAAACAAGTTATAGATGAGGCAGAATGTCAGAATACATTAAGTTTTAATTCCCAAGCATCTAGTTACACTTTTAGTTCAATCGATAGGGACATGTTTCTCGTGAAATTAAACGTATGACTCAAGGATTAGAAATCTCATCTAGATTAATTTGTCTGTTGGAATGGAAATAATTATCTGTTAGTCACAAAATTTTTAAGTATGGTTTAAGATTAATTTGAATAAAATTCATTTGATATGAGTATGAGGATGGTGGCAGGACTTTAGTAATTCCAATAATTTGACAGAAGCAAGTTTAGACTTAAGACGAATCTTGATACTATCTATCCTGCTCTGAATGATTTCCAAAATCACTTTACATTAATTTTCAGGTTTTTCATATTGAAAAAATCTGTATTTAGCTTTTATATTCATGATAATTGTGTGAAAGGCTTTTGCAGGCAAAATTATTACTCAATATGCATGTTTTCCTGCAAAACCCATGTCATTTATATTCACTATAAATTCCATATGAGGACATTTCAATGCCACAATCTTTGCATTATCATATTATTGATACTTATTTATATTAAGTAATCCTGATTATCGAAAGCTAACATACTTTTCTTTGTTTTGCAGAATACCATGACGACCAGTGGCATGAGGTCAAAGCCTCTCTTGACACATCCTCTGGTCATCTTAAAGTGACCATGGATGGAGTCATCCATAATGAGCGTGTACGGGCGTTTACATGGATAAAACCTTCGGACTTCCTGGACCCCGATCTCCTGTCACCAGTCATACGATATGGAAGTAAGTATATTTCTCTGTAATAGTGATTGCAGTACACATGTTGCCGTGACCCTGACCTGACAGTATGTTTTTGGCAATAACACCATCCCTGCATTGTTATAAGCATATTTAGAATGTTGCTGTATGGTAAAAATACAAACCAAGCTAGTGCTGTTTCATTGTCCTGTAATAAGCCCACCTCCTGACTTTGAGTTAGAATTAAAAGTAATATATGTTTGTCAGCTGTGGGTCCTGGACCTACTGCAGAACAGGATATACTTGTGGTCAACCAATATGGCAGAAAGCACTTAATGACCCCCAGTTCTTGCCTGTAGTTTTACAATGGTGAACTTCTGACCAAAGATTGAATTATGTTTCTGTGTCGTAATATATGAAATGGCAGCTAGCTCTCAGAATATGCTACTGAAAATGTGATATTGCAATGTGTATCTATTTATTTCTGAAGTGATGTCATATATTGAAAAAATTTGCTATAAACATGGATGGCCCTTAATCTCATGTCGAAGTCATATGATATATGACAATATGTACCTCCATTTCAATGTCGTGTCATACCATAAGGCTTTACTAGCTATGATATCAACCCTCACTTGCATTGCCAGCCATACCATATATGGTAGCAAATTAATTACTATGTCTTAGTTAATCAATATCTGTGCCCTATCTTATCATCTGTTTTGAAAGCTACCAGCTTCTGTTTCTGCAACTTCGATATTATAAGATAACAATTTGATAAAAGCAATGTCGAATTAAGAATTCATCCTGAAATTTGAAATTGGTATATAAGTTTTATGGTACGGGATGAGGGAGAGAGGATGGCTCGATCAATTTTTATATTCTTGAAATGAAAAATTTTATAAGCCCAAAACAGAGGTCACAAAGTCTATCTATTACATGTACATAGTTCATAGCACTTTGAGTTTATCACATTCAATTTTAGGTTTTGATCAGTTTAAATTCTCACCAGTGCGTTAATACAGAAATGGTCACACATTTGAAAGAACGAAAAAGAATATGCTTATGAAACAAACTAAAAATTGTCAATATTTTCTGAAACACATTTAAGAAATAGCCATGCTTAAACTTGGGGATTTCTTTTTTTTCTCAATAATCCTATAGAAATGTTTTCATTAAGGCACTGAGAAGTTCTGAGAAGAAAAAAGATAATACCCTGCTGTGTAAATGTACTTTAAGCTGACCCTTATAGGAGAAGGAGGTAGTTTCACAAATTCTGTTCACTGTCAGTAATCAATATTAACATCCAGTGTCTGAAATTGACATAGAATGTGAGGATGAGTTTCTCTCTCCTGGAGATCAGTTTCAAAACATAATTAATTACATTCAGAATTTATATCCAAACATTTACCCCTGATATTGTGAATGTTAAGATATTAGGATGCTATATAATATTATCGGAAGTGAACCCAATTCAACTCTGATATGAATATCTTGATCCATCTTGGCAATGGAGAAAAACTTCAGAACAGATCCTCTTGAGCCACTTTGGCAACTGAAGTTGAAAAACAAGTCAAGTCTTCTACAGCTTTATTCCTGAATGTTGGGCTGGGAACCACCTGACAGAAGGCACAGCATTCATTCATAAGTGGTCAACACTTATCACAATTAGATTCATCTGTTTACAATATTTCCTGTCAATGGGTCGTATATCAGTTTCGGGAAAATATTGCACTTGGAATAAGAATTGTATTTTGGATGTTCTGTAGCTAGTTGTAAAACATGGGAAAAATAAAACAACAAAAAATTGAGATATACCAGGTACATTTTAGCATCTTTTGTTCACACAATTAATTCTATGCAGTATATAAGTAATAACTTGTGAGCTCATTCATTTTTCTTCCCATGCTATTTCTTCGTCTGATAGAAACTTTTGTGCTTAGCTTTCACCCAGGTGTAAAACTTGTGTTTTCCATGAAATATATCATAGATCTTCCATTCACAGGGATTTTAGGCAATATTTAAGTATTGGTATATCAATAAACCTAAATAGGTAGAAAAGTTTAATGTTTGTATTTATGACATCATTGAGATAAATTCTATTCTTTTGCAATTGGAATTTAGATGTGTTTGTTGCTTGTTAGTGAGCCTGGTGGTATCTTTATTATAAACCTGATCATCCCGAGAACTAATTATTAGGACATTGACCAAGATTGACATGGGGTGATTTTGATGGAGCAGAAGATGTTTATCCTTCTGGAACACCTGGTTTTATTCTTGTATTTTCTCAATAATCATTATATATTCATTTTTTGTTCATATTTTGTTCAAATTTCAACAGTTATCAGTTTAAAATCAGATAATGAACATATCATTATTTTCTTGTCATTTTTATTTGCCATTGAATCCCCTGAAGTAGATGTTGTCTAGGGATTCACATTCTTCACTTGACCATTTCCTATACTGAGTGTTTACTTTGATTTTAGATGGCGCAGATCTTGACCAGTTCGTAGGATGTCTGCGGGATCTTGTGTTCAAGGGAGAGGAAGTGAGACCAGAAAAGACCCACAGAGTAAAGGCTGGTTGTATAGATTTGTGTGTTACCAATAATTTGTGTGTGAAAGGTACGCGCTGTATCAACCAGTACAACAACATGCACTGTGACTGCTTTGGCTCTGACAACGAAGGCCAGTACTGTCACGACACCAGTAAGTCTTACAATATGTTGATCATATCGGCAAAAACCAATTAAAAGAGTTCAAATGTGGTTGTTTATTTCTTATCTTGCAGAAAGATGCATTTTATTTATTTATTTCGTTTTATTTATTAATTTTTGTCTTGTTTTAACCAGAATCTGTTGATTTTTGATATTTTTTGGAATCTCCTTTTTTCTATGATAGTAACAATAGTGTTGTCAGTAGATCAATGGAATTGTTTTTGTTTGTGTGGTGCGATGATCCTTACTCAGGGTGGCTTGTGATAAAGGTACTATGAAGAAGCTGGAAAAACAGACAATCATCTATGTCGATGGGCAGGACACTTGACCCCTTATTACTTTCCTTGAATGGCATGTGATGCTGGCCTCCCATGTGTTGTTCAGTGACATAGTTACCAGCTTCTTAAAGGAGACCACAAGTCAAAATAACCATGACTGTTGATGTCACAAATAACCCATTTAATGAATTTTTTTGTGTTACAGAACCGACTGTGGTGACATTGCGGGGATATGAGTGGATCACATATCAACTTTACCAGCGGCCTAAAGACAAGATGTTGATGGATAATACTCGTATCAGTCTCCAATTCAAGGTAGGCCTTGTCTTAAAGGTGCCAAACTTTTGATGAAAAATGTTGTCAAAGAGATTTTGCAAAATTGCTTTGTATGTCCAGTCCAGTCATTTGTTCAGTGTTTTATATTTTAGACTCTGCAACTTCTGTTTACAGTCTGACCGAGGGTCTGGAGTGTTAATTTACGCAGTAGGTGGGGCTCCATACAACAGTCATTTGATTGCCTCTGTCCATGAAGGTACTGTTACAGTCTCTATGGCGTTCGGTGAAGACGTCATACAGGAAAGGATGGGAATCGGTGTTGATGATCAGAGGTGAAGTAATCATGTGTTGTAAATTCAATCTTTGTCAGTATTTATTGGATGGTGGATGTTGGATTAAAAAACATTTCAATTTGTGGAAATTTGAAATTTATGCATCTAAATGTACCTGGTACAAAAAATTATCTGACACAAAGAAAAAAATAATTTACAGTTATGAGAAGGAGAGAAACGAGACCGAGGCGTGGATGTGATCAATGATTATAAACAGCAGTCTCATTTGCATATTTGATGAACACAATTGATCATAGTCTTTTTTTTTATTTTCTATTTTGGAATTTTCAACTTTTTTTAACCCATATTCAATACTACTACGATTTTGATGCACACTTCTTCATTTTAGAAAAGAAAAATTATGGCATATTTAACTTAAACACCCTCCTTAAAGTGTGGTCATTATGCATGTGAATTTGATTTTTGAAATTTTTGTTTTCATTGAATATTTTATATCTTATCGCAATAATGAATTTAGTGTGAAAATCAAAACACTGTATTAACAAGAACTTTGTGGCAAAATTACTTACATACCAATAAACCTGTTCTGTTTCAGTTTTATCTGTGCTAGTGGTCAGAAATTAACATCAAATTCTAAGGTTTCATATTGTTTATTTGATTTCTGTAGCTTTTTAAAGAAGTCTGGATTTTTTGTATGTGGATACAAAATTCAGTACAGTGGAACCTCTCTATACCTTCCTCTCTCTAATCCAGAAATCTGACATTTTGGCCAAATAATTATTAGTTCAACATTGGAATATTCAGGGTCTGAAATAAAAGAAACTTAGTTTTGTTATCTGATGGCATCTATTCTTTTTATTTCCATCATTTTAGTGTTTATTCACAGCAGAATAATAATACATAGACACTTTAAATTCCCCTACTACTTACTACCAATTGCATAGTCTGGAAATGTCTAGGGCTAACAAAATTAAGTCATGTGACTGAGATGATTAAAATTCGAGAAAACCTCCGTTTTGGATCCAACTCAAAACTATTCAGGAAGGATTATATATATATTAGTACCTGCTTTTCAATGGTAAAGATATGACATAAGTGGAACCAAAAATTCTGGATTTTACAGTAAATTGCAAAATTTTGGCATGGTGAAATGAACTGATGATATTGTATTTGGTCCCAAAAGTGTTTGACATAGAGTGAATCCACTGTGTAAAAGTGAGCTGAAAATTTAATGTAATTTAACAGAATTCTAGTTCTGCAGTTTTTGTTGATTTTTTTATACTTTTTTTTCAACAACATTTAAATGCTGTGTTTGAAGATTTTCCACAAAATGTTTACACACACTCTCCTAAAGTTCAAACTGGAGTTTTGTTAAATGTTACTCTCCAAACCTGTTCATTTTTCAAATGGCACGGTCATGATTTGTTTTGAATTTTCTTGTTTTAATGTTTTTTTTCACTCATGTTGATCATTTCATCTCATTTTCACGCGGCCATCATTAGGAGGTTGAAAGGGTAAGTGTGAGAGGCAGGACTGTACTGATAGAATGTATGGTTAGAGGGGTTGTCTTCCCAAAACCATCACCGCTTTCATTCGTCATGGCAACTGGAATCTTGCTACATGTGCTCATGCGTTTGTTGATGTTTTTGATGAAATATTTGTTTCAGCTTCACATATATCTTTTACCTGTTGAATGCATCCTCCTTGCTTTTATATAATCATTGAAAAGTATATATCAATCAAACTCTCAATATTATTTGCTGATTTTCTTTCCTGTTTCTGAAGACAACATATAATTCTTTATTCTCTAGTTTAGAATGCCATTCTTTCATACATTTTATGTGTAATCTTAATTCATCTTGATATTGGTTTCGTGGTTGTCAGGGCTACAAAGTCGTTGCTTGGGACATTTCTGATTTTTGCTTTACTTTGTTGGCTTCATTTTATTCTTGGAGTTATGTTTTGGTGTCAACAAATATATCACTCAAAAACAGCTTTCAATGGTGATCTTTGTCATAGCCAGGGATTTGGTAATCTACATGTACATTTTCATATTTCAACGATAGGCTCTGGATGGTGGTACAGAGAAATGGTTGGGAGTGGGAGGAAGATTTTCATGGTTATGAAGGTTCTTGGAAAGATAATTAGGAAAGCTATGTATATGAAAAAAATTCCATCAAATGTGATTTAAACTCAAGTTTGAGATTGTACACCTGGCCATGCACAAGTTTTTGGGGTTTTTTTTAACTGCATTTGGTAACTGTCATCTGATGTATTTTTGTATCACAATACATTTTGTTATTCCACTCTTAGATTGTTGTGTAAACATGCTGACATTTGGATAAATATATGATATATACATGTACACCACTTGTGGTATATGACCTTCCAGCCTTTTGATTAGTTGAGAAGTTGACCTTTGACTGCAGGGCAATTTAAAGGTGCAGTAATTAGTTCATGATTGTTTTTAGTTTTTCGTATGGATTTCTGTCGATTTATTGCTTTAAAGTAACAATCTCATTTATTACATGTTGTGATTTGTAATGAATTGTAATATTTCTACACATTTCTAAAATTGTTAGTTCCGCATATTAATAAACAGCATTTCACTACAGGTCAGATGTCTCATTACAGAATTTATAAGCAAATCACATCTTGGTAGAGAACAGTTGAATCAATTCTAGAAATAGGTTTTTTTTACTGTGGTAGAAACAAGCCACACAAACTAGTCATTATTATATAGTATTTCTTTCACTCCAGTTAGTTATTTTTCAAAAGTTAAAAAAAGATACAATGCACATGTTAACTGAAATACCATATACCACACCCTTTACTGTGTACTATATATATCCTATATTGACATGTATGTAGATTTTGTAACAGGTGTTGAATACTCTAATAAGGCGAACTGACAGTGCACCTTGATGAACTTGAATATCCATATATTAATAGCATGATATTGTCAGAGAAAGAGAGAGAGATAGAAAGACAGAGAGAGAAAGATAGAGAAGGAAAGAGAGAGAGGGAGACAGAGAGAAACATATATATATAAAAGGAGAGCAACTTCAGACCCTGCTCAGTGTTGAATGCTGTGTTTAAATAGTGGCATGAAGGTCTATTTCCTCTCTTTCGTGAGAACAGAGAACGAAATAACGCTGGTCCTTTGTCATTGCTGAAGACAGTATCTGCTTGATCTGGTGGTGCAATGGTTGGGCACTCATCTTTCACCTGAGCAACGAGCAATTCACCTGATTTAAGAGCCCTCGTATTTCACTGCTTCCATCCAGACCAATAAGAGTGTTTGGTACAAGCTGATATGACTTGTTTTACATTTGTTGTAAAAACATTAAAGTTTATTGTGTGAGAGATTTGCTTCCAAGTCTCTTTCCTTGACAGATGGACCTCAGAAAATCTATTTCAGAAAAAACCTGAAGGCATGCTGTTTATCTGCAAGAGACTTCAAATGCCATTAAAATGTTATTTTGAATCTTTGTATATCAGGTTTTGTTTGTTTTTAACCTACATGTTCTTTCCAACATAGAAGTTTTTGTTATGGAATTTTCAAACAACTTTTTTGAATTGCAGAAGGGGAAAGATGTTATTGAAAACTCATAAAATTGAGTGTTCTTTTCCAAAACTATTTGTGTTTCAGGAAAATCAGCATATATTTGTAACACTTGCTTAAATTGCTTGTGAAAGAAAGTTATTTTACTGTACATATAATATTAGACAGATGTATCCATTCTAAAGAACTGAATTCGGTTCATCATTGATCTTTGAAATAAAGTAGAAAAAAATTGATCATACAAAAAGTTATAGCTGCAGACAAGAGACTTTGAATTCTGTTTACTTTATAATCTCACATAATTATGGCTTTTGATGAAGTCTTAATTATGTTTTCGCATAATGATTTGATAGGCTGAGGTTCAAGATCACATGAGAGAATAACTATGTGTAGGAGAGAATAACTATGGGTAGGAGAGAATAACTATGTGTATGAGAGAATAACTATGTGTATGAGAGAATAACTGTGGGTATGAGAGAATATGAGTATGAGAGAATATGAGTATGGGAGAATAACTATGAGTATGAGAGAATAACTGCGAGTATGAGAGAATAACTACAAGTATAAGAGAATAACTGTGGGTATGAGAGAATATGAGTATGAGAGAATATGAGTATGGGAGAATAACTATGTGTATGAGAGAATAACTGCGAGTATGAGAGAATAACTACAAGTATGAGAGAATAACTATGAGTATGAGAGAATATGAGTATGAGAGAATATGAGTATGGGAGAATAACTATGAGTATGAGAGAATAACTGCAAGTATGAGAGAATAACTACAAGTATAAGAGAATAACTGTGGGTATGAGAGAATATGAGTATGAGAGAATATGAGTATGGGAGAATAACTATGAGTATGAGAGAATAACTGCGAGTATGAGAGAATAACTACAAGTATAAGAGAATAACTGTGGGTATGAGAGAATATGAGTATGAGAGAATAACTATGAGTATGAGAGAATAACTATGGGTAGGAGAGAATAACTATGGGTAGGAGAGAATAACTATGTGTATGAGAGAATAACTATGTGTATGAGAGAATATGAGTATGAGACTATGTGAGAGTAATATGAGAGAATAACTACAAGAGAGAATAACTGTGGGTATGAGAGAATATGAGTATGAGAGAATATGAGTATGAGAGAATAACTATGTGTATGAGAGAATAACTGTATGAGAGACTATGAGTATGAGAGAGAGAAGAACTACAAGTATGAGAGAATAACTATGAGTATGAGAGAATATGAGTATGAGAGAATATGAGTATGGGAGAATAACTATGAGTATGAGAGAATAACTGCGAGTATGAGAGAATAACTACAAGTATGAGAGAATAATACGTGTAAGAAAATAGCTAGTGATATGTGCACGACTTTTAACAGAGAATTATATGGACATATTCTATACTAAGAGCATGTTTGTTTTGAAAGAAGAACATTTGACTTAAGTGTGATATGGAATGCATTGTTTTTACCCTGTTATCCAATAATAATCCCATGTCTGGTAATAAGTCCACCCAGATCTACTGCAATTTCAGGGAAAATGCAGACAAATATGTGAAATCATTATCCTGTGATAAAGCTATCTATTCTCTGAGATTATTTGTTACCCTGATGGACTTCAATAGAGATTTCATACAGTCAACTATATAAGGCAGTGATTTTAAGCTCCTATTACACTAATGTCTGGTCTGTAACATAGAACAGTTCAACATTTCTGCATTTTATTAATATCAATGATGTTCTTTACTGCTAGTGATAAAGTTAGCCACTAAACATGTTCGGAATGAAGGTTTACATGTATTGTTGCATTGAATGATTTTGATCTGTTTTTTAGATTTTAACATTTATCAAATATACTGTAATCTTGTCAAAACCAAACATGCTGTAAAATCATGTATTTTCGTGGTGCTAAAATTTTGTGGTTTTCTGAAAACAACCATTGTTGTTAGCACTTGATTTTGCTGATAAATCTTCCTCACTCAATCCACAAGTTCTATAATCCAAGTCAACATCTGCTCATCATTTTGTGGACATATAAATTCCTAGATTTAGAGTACTTGCAAATTAAGTGAAAATAAACCCCGCACAGAAATACATGATTTTACAGTTTATAGAAATACCTTGACAAATATTTTTGTTGTGATTAAGTAGCGTTTGTATTACTTTCAGTTCAATAAGAAATGATGTGATACCAAATCTTTCAAACAAGCAAGGTGTAACACTCATGTGCTTGTATTGAACTTCTGACAGGCTACTCTATAGGAGAACACATTCAACCAGTCTTATATTATTGCCCTGGACTCCCAACTTTTTATTTTCTTCGATTGAAGTGTTAAATTCTTACCGAGGTACACGTATCATGTACATTTCACCTATTACATCATTAAATCTCTTGTTATTTACACCCTAGTTGTGAAAGTGTGAAATCCGGTGAAAGTACAGAATTTCCTCTCGCATGGTTATGATCAAGTTTTGTAAATAAGTTGTAGAGTCAGTGAAATAGATATTTGTGTTTTACCGAACACACCAGACACATGATATATATCCATATTTGTATTCATGACAGCAAAAACTACAACATATTCATTCGTAAACATTTTTGTATTTTTCGGTGACATTTTTGTAATTTTTCCTGAAATGTGTGTCATTGTAGTGGTTTCAATTACATTATAAATGACTCAGTGAGGCTGAACATGATTGACATTTTGAGGTCAGGATGTTGTTTAAGGTGGCAGTCAATTCATGACATATGTCACAGTCAGTCAGTAATCATTGAAATAAATCTTTATCTAAGGCTTCATATTCAATTACAAATTTTTTGGATGATATTCTTGTGGTCAAATAGTTTCAATTTTTTTTAAAATCTGACATAGCAAATTAATTAGAATGTAGATATTAATGATCCACTTACAAGTTTTACATCATTGATTGGCAGTTGAAATTAAAACTTCTGTATAATTCCTCTTCTGTTATTTGTCACTTCACTTATTCTGATAATATCTAGAAGTCCCCGAAAATTCTTCTTTCATAAATTTTTTTTCGTTATACTGCCAAAGCTGTTTTTTGAAATTTGTAGCTTTTACAAAAAGATGACTTTTTATTGAAGTTGCTTTAGGACTGTAATTTATCAAAAGTTTAATTTAAGGAGATTTCTGGGTAAAATAGCATTCAGATTGTAAGTATTACTATATATAAATGATATTCACTTTAACACGACATGCTGATATACTGTAATATGCTGCATGAAGTATTTATCTATAAATAGCAATTTAATTTATTACAAGATTGAAGTTGAAATTATATGGTTGGACTTTTCCCCTGTTATAAACACTGGTAAATAAGGGGAAAAATTCTTATATGGAAAAAAAAATGCCACAAAAAAATATTCTTGAATGAAAAAATATGAAAGATGTTCATTATCTTTGTCTTTGTTAAATTTAGATGGCACAATCTGACCATTGTCCACAACCAACAGGAGGTCAATTTCCTTCTGGACGGTATGTCACACAGACACTCACTTGACCCACTAAACTTCCATCTGAGCTTTGACCCACAGATATACTTTGGAGGGGGAGACAACTTTGTTACAACACAAGGTAAGCATGCTGGAGTTACTTCCCTTAGAGTGTATATGCAACTTATTTTTTCAAAACTTTTGTGGTAGATATGTTTTTCATGTTAGTTACAATATCAATGATCAGCATTAAATTAATTAAATTGATGTAAAAATATCATGAATTTTGTCCATGTTAAACAGTTGTCTTTTTTTTCAACTCTTCAACAAAATAAAGAAAGTGACATTAGTTGTTTATTTCTGTTCTTAGTAACATAAAATCAATGTCTCTTTTTAATACTGCCTATGAAGAGCTTATAATATATTTATTATTTAAGGTTTTACTATACATCAGAGATTGTGAAAAAAACGAAAAGTGTAAAAATTGTAAAAAAGAACATAATGACAATTTTTTTCTTTAGTTGTTTAAATTATAAACTAGCAAGTTTAGGTTAAGCTGAAGATTTTTTGTTTGAACATCTTGTATAGTTATATTTTTCATTATGCAAACTTGAATTTCAAATCCTGTTTATATTGGTAATAATGTGCCTGTAGCATAATTATAAGATTTCATTATGTTTTGGGTTGTGGATGAAATAATGATAACTAATTGTAGCAGTTATCTGTAATATTTTAGAAAGTTATGTTCTTACTAGTTTGTCCTTTTTTTTTTTTAGATAACTGAAATATTTCGGATCTAAGCAAAATCTATTCTTTGTTTGTGCAGGGCTGCAGGTTACACAAAACTTTGTGGGATGTCTCAAAAATGTTTATGTCAATGAAATATCAGTCTTGCATCGTCTTGTGAGAGATGACCCTGCCACCCAACTCAAAGGAGGAATCATGCCGCAGCAGGGCTGTCACAAGGTCAAGGACATCCCTATGACCTTCCCAAAATCGGGCACAATGTTACTGTTTGATGGATATGGAGGAAAGGACCTTACTGTTGAGTTAGAGTTCCGAACTGTTCGACAGGATGCTGTGCTTCTATACTTCAACCTACTCTCACCAGGCAACGTAGATACAGGCAACTTGGAGGTAATCACCTATACTGGGGTTTAGTTGTAGTAGTATCAAAAGTGTGAATGATCTTAGTGGTAACAATAAACTTTAGTATCAATGATATATCACTGCTATGGATAAAAGGAATGTTGATTTTACAGCAACAGGAGGTTGAAATGTTGATTTTACAGGAATAAGGGGTTGATATGTTGATTTTACAGCAATAGAAGAATGAAATGTTGAAATGTCAATTTTACAGCAATAAGGGGTTGAAATGTTGATTTTACAGCAATAGAAGAATGAAATGTTGATTTTACAGCAATAAGGGGTTGAAATGTCAATTCTACAGCAATAGGGAGTTGAAATGTCAATTTTACAGCAGTAGGGAGTTGAAATGTCAATTCAACTGGAACAGAGGGTTGAAATATTGATTTTACAGAAATAGTGATAGGGGGTGTGAGGGGGCAAATTGGTTTTACAGGAATAGGGGGTTTAAATGTGGATTTAACTAGTACGAGTGATAATAATATGTGATTCGGATTTTTCAGGTTTGGGTGCGAAATGGACAACCCCTTTTACATTATGTCTCATCTCTTAGCAATGGAAGTCACACAAGGAACACCTCTGTGGCAATGGTTGTCAATAACAACAGGTGGCATACATTGCGTTTAGAGTTTAAGGCCGGGTAGGTATACAACTCTATCTCTAAGTATAGTTCTTATTAGAGGAGAAGAAAATCTTTAAGAACAGTTCTTATAAGAAGTGAAGAAAATCTTTAAGTATAGTTCTTATTAGAAGTGAAGAAAATCTTTAAGTAAAGTATTTATTAGAGGTGAAGAAAATCTTTAAGTATTAGTTCTTATTAGAGGAGAAGAAAATCTTTAAGTACAGTTCTTATTAGAAGTGAAGAAAATCTTTAAGTAAAGTTCTTATTAGAAGTGAAGAAAATCTTTATGTAAAGTATTTATTAGAGGTGAAGAAAATCTTTATGTAAAGTTCTTATTAGAAGTGAAGAAAATCTTTATGTAAAGTTCTTATTAGAAGTGAAGAAAATCTTTATGTAAAGTATTTATTAGAGGTGAAGAAAATCTTTATGTAAAGTTCTTATTAGAAGTGAAGAAAATCTTTAAGTACAGTTCTTATTAGAAGTGAAGAAAATCTTTAAGTAAAGTTCTTATTAGAAGATGAAGAAAATCTTTATGTAAAGTATTTATTAGTTCTTATTAGATGAATGAAGAAAATCTTTATGTAAAGTTCTTATTAGAAGTGAAGAAAATCTTTATGTAAAGTTCTTATTAGAAGTGAAGAAAATCTTTATGTAAAGTATTTATTAGAGATGAAGAAAATCTTTATGTAAAGTTCTTATTAGAAGTGAAGAAAATCTTTATGTAAAGTTCTTATTAGAAGTGAAGAAAATCTTTATGTAAAGTTCTTATTAGAAGTGAAGAAAATCTTTATGTAAAGTTCTTATTAGAGGTGGAGAAAATCTTTAAGTAAAGTTCTTATTAGAAGTGAAGAAAATCTTTAAGTAAAGTATTTATTAGAGGTGGAGAAAATGTTTAATATTAGTTCTTATTAGAAGTGAAGAAAATCTTTATGTAAAGTTCTTATTAGAGGTGAAGAAAATCTTTAAGTAAAGTTCTTATTAGAAGTGGAGAAAATCTTTAAGTAAAGTATTTATTAGAGGTGGAGAAAATCTTTAATATTAGTTCTTATTAGAGGTGAAGAAAATCAAAACAGTTATACTTTTTATGGATAGAATATTTTTGTCCTTTAAAAAATTGAGATTTGGCTTTTCGTTTTTGAGTTTGGAATGTAGTCAGAGTTAGTTTTAGTTCATATTAATGATTGAGATGGAAGGGGTAGTCATTGATGCTATACTGCAAAAATCGATGTAGCCAAATTGATCAAGAATTTAAGCATGGGCTTATTGTCAGATTGTTGTGGATCAATTGTTGTACCTGAAACAATACCTAAAATATCTTTTTTAGATTTTTGTAATTTGTGCTATGAAGCTCCAGTAAAGTACATGGTTGATTGTTGATTTGTGTCCTAACTTTTTTAGCAAGGATGTTTAACGTTGTTGATTAATTTTTGATTTTAAGAGTTTACATCAAAATATGAACAATTCATTTCAGTACGGCCAAAGTTCGTATTGGAAGTCGATCAGTCGTCCTGGACGGTGTTGGGGAGCCTATCTACGTCAGCGGTGCAATCATTGTTGGTTTTGTCCCTAAAGTCTACACAGGTAATTAAATCTTTATTTACAGGTAAACATACATATGTAGGTCTAGTATTATAATAATTATTAGGATGTCCTGGTCAGGTGACCTGATAAAATTTATTGCTGGTTTCTATACTGAGGTAAGTTCAGTTGTAGTTCTATTGAAACAATTTTGAATTTGCATTTTAGAAAACATAGGATTTGTTGGTTGTATTCGAAACCTAAAACTCCAGAATGAGACCATTGACCCAATTAAATTGATGGACAATCGTGATGTTGTGGATGGTGTGTTTTTGGACGGTTGTAATCTAGTTGATCATTGTCGCTATGGTCCCCCTTGTCAACATGGCGGTCAGTGTTTGGCGGACTGGGATGGTATTTCATGCAACTGTGAGGCTACGTCTTACTCCGGAAAAACCTGTCATTTCCGTAAGTCAGTTATCACACTGTTTAAAATCGAAGCCCCTCACAGTGAAAGCTATTGATGTACAATAAAATTTGGAAAATTATTTCTTTTTAAAAATGACTTCCATTTTTGGTGAGATATTATTCAACATCACAGTAATAGATATTATGTCAGATATTTCTGTAAAATATTGAAGTTATTTACTTCATCAATAACAACATCAGTGCTTCATATGATCATTTTAATCAAAGATTTAGAATTGAAAAAAAAAAAAAATAAAGAAAGATTCTTTTCTAAAAAGTAAAGACTTAAGAGTTGATGTGATCATGAGTATTATAAAGAGTTTAACAGACCATAATGTATTGTTAACAGCACGGTACAAGCAGACATGTGATGAATACTACCAGGCTGGGTACACAGAATCAGGTGTTTACCTCCTGGATGTTGATGGCGAGGGACCAATGGAGCCCCATCATGCCCATTGCCAAATGGGTCATAGGACCGTTAACCCTGAAGGAGGCCCTGACATCACAGGAGTGACTGTAGTAGAACACAATCTTGCCCCAGAAACAACCATACGAGACCCTGAACTGGGAGAACTCAAAAAAGTGTTAACGTACAGGTATAAATACATTGGAATTGTTTATACGAAAACTTCATAGCTGCTCCAAGGTCAAAGGTCATAAGCGCTTTCACTCTAATATATGTCCGTTCTTCACATTCACTAGAGACTCAATATCAACAGTTGATACAGTTGCGTAAAGACAATTACAAAAAATTTATATTAAGATATAATTGTTCACTTGAATTAAGAAACCACCTGTAATCAGATAATACATTTAGAATGCCTTGCATGTTGAATGGAATCCAGTTTTTTTGTTTTCAGGGTCATAAAGACAACAATGATATGTCACTTTGTAAATTTTAACCGTCTTCTACCTAATTAAAACAGGATAGATGTCTCTTTGTACACATGTAGATATTATCATTAGATAAACAACATGCCTCTCAGATTTTATAAGTTCACGCCATAGTAACAAATTGTCTGCATCTGACTAGATTTTGGTAGTCATCAATCAAGGTTAAAGGGTCAAAGGTCACGCTTGAAATGAACCCCTCATGATATTCCATTTTACCATTCCACAGGGAAATGAATCATGAAGTCCTTCTGCAGCTGACCAAGATGTCTGCTGAATGTCAACAGTATATAGAGTATAGCTGTTACCGTGCTCCTATCAGGTCAGTATACATACTACCATACTACAATCAGGTCAGCATAGCTGATATCAGGATAGCTGTAACTATGCTTTTTTATACTCTACTTGTTGATCTGGAGATGTTTAAATGTTTTCATCCATGACCATCTGTCCTGTTGTCCTGTTGTGTCCTTAGTTACATGTTATCATCCATGACCATCTGTCCTGTTGTCCTGTCATGTCCTGAGGACCTATCTACAGATCATAACATCAAATTCTACACTTTATCATATTATATTAAAGTGGTAATTGGTGAAGGTCTAAAGGCCAAAGTTCATATTTCAAAACTTATTCAAATTCATCGAATAATGATATTTTCAGAAATAAGAACGATGGCATTCATGTCATCCAGACATTTTCTAGTTCTTTCCCAAAGATGGTTAATTTAATTCTAGTATTGATCGTTAAACATGGTATCACAAATAAAGCTAACAGCTGTTATAAAAATCCTTTTTCTACAGGCTTGGAGACTTGACTTTCTTCAGAGCAGCTAGTGGTCAGGGTGTGGAATCAATCGGTACGGCAACACCCGGACACTGTGCTTGTTCCTACGGCAACCAGTGTCCAGCCAATGGCTGCATGTGTGACAGAGGTAACCATGACAACGTTTTGTATTTATAATGATCTCTTTGTCTGTATTTTCTATTACACTAATTCATCAAATCAAATTTTGTAAACAGAAGCAGAAAATTATGTTACTGATAGTAAAAAATATCAAAGAATGTATAAAAATTGGCATTTTTGCATATCCTGCAAAAACTCATTACCTCCAACTCAAAATCAGGGGACGTGCTTATTACAGGACATCGTAATAGCACTGGATGGTAGTTCCTTTGAACAGCAAGAGATTTTTGTGATGGAAAACATTTTATATCTACCATTTCTGTAGTCCTGATCTGATACAAGTGTCCAGTATACTGTGTTTTCCTTGGGATGACCGTCTCAAACATATCTACAAAGTTAACATCACAGACTTTGATGTGATGTCAGAAATTGACATCAGCTGGTGTCAAATGCAGAACTCAAAAGAAAATTAAAAAAAAAAAAAACATGTTTCTTATTTTGAAGAGATACAAGATAGCTTGTATTAAAAAAAAAGAATTATTATTTTTACAGTTCCAAAAATTTTGTTTTCTTTGAAAAAATTGCTAGCAAAAATGTCCTCATACAAAAGAGCTCTCATTCAACTGAAATAATCCTATGTTCATTCATATTCACTTCAGCTCATGCCTTTTATAGGTTTTTCTTTTAAGTATGTTTGAAATTATCTTTTTTCCTATCATTCCCTATTATTTGATAAAAATCCATTTGATTAGGTTTCTATCAAATTTATATAGTGTTAATCTATTCCTGAGAAAATAAATTCTTAGTTTTAATATCTCACAAGTTTTCTTCATTTATTCATGTTGTCTTCAAGTGAACATTCTTGAAACAATTTCAATTCAATTCAACTTTATTTTCATTTTTTTTTTACAGCAAGATCATCTGTGGCAGTTGATAAGGGGAATAACTCTGTCAAAACACAATTACCCATCACTGAGCTAACAATATTGAATAAAAGAGGTGGATTTTCAAAGGGAACTGCAAACATCACTTTGGGAGCCCTCAGATGCTGGGGCAGTAGTAAGTACTGCTATATATAACATTAATTATAGTAATTGTCGTCATTGTCATCGCAGTACAATGATTAAAAAAGTAATGATTAAAAACTACATACATTGTATATCAGTTTACTATACATTGTTTTTTTAGTGAAATGTTGGACAGTAGTAAGATTTTGTGGAGATTGATATTTAGTTGTATAAACCTGAGAAGGAAGACAGATATGAAATACATATTTAAGTACCAGGTACTTGGTTATTGTAGAGTGGAAGTAGTGTATCCATGAGTAGGTGGTATGTGTTTGGAGGGAGGGTTGATTAGAGGAGGAGAATACAGGCATACTCTGGATTTAATTGTACTGTAGAACTTATGTGATAAGTGAATGGAATTAAACAAAAAGTAAAAAAGGATTTTCAGTATGTAAGATCACCTTAGTTTATAGTTTGTTGTTTTCAAATCTTTTTTTAAAGTATTTTTTTTCAAAATCATTGTGTTTTGAACTACTCACGTGAAGTATTTTCTATAACAGTAGAATTTTTACCTCAATAGATGATAACAGATTAGACCATGCTGTGACATTTACGGGGCAGATGGCCCATATCGTTCTTCCTTCATGGACGTCTTTTGACCTACGATTTAGTTTCCGTACTCACCAGCAGACTGCATTGCTCTTGCACCAGAGTCCACAGTTCAATAATTCCAACATGTTTACTATAGAGCTTCTCTCTGGTAAGTATATATTAGTCAAACTTTTATCTGAAAATTGAATATCTTATCAATTAGCTAACATAATCAAGGAGCGTTCTTCTTACCAGGAAGAAAAATAGATTTTGTCATCCCTTTTACATAAATTTCAAGATAAAATTCATTTAAATATTTAGTACACAATTTTTTTCTTTCCAGCCCGGACTTTGCGATTTTTCTTTTTGATAAACAATGTTGAGTTTGTGTCGGATATTCAAACGGATGAACCTCTAAACACGGGTGAATGGAAACAGATTTGGGTCGAACGCAGTCAGCATGACATACGCTGTAGTGTAGCTAGAAAACAACAAATCGTCACAATACCAGAGGTCTGGACATCAGATGACCCCATCTTCTCCGGACTGTTGTATCTAGGAGGACTACCTGGGTAAGGAACATACCATTGCTTGGCCACATCCATTGTAACATGCAGAGTTATGGCCCTTTGTAGAAACCGAATCCTATATTGTATGGTATCCTAATTCAGTTATGGTCTGATCAGGGTACTGATAATAATGGTTATAGTTGGCAAATTAAGTCAAAGTTAGTGTGTAAGTAATATAATGTGGTCATGTTAAATTATTTGATATAAAATTAATTGTGATTGTAAAAAAAAATGGCACTAAATGGCTTCATGTGATATCAAAGTCAAACAACTAATGCTTTAGTTTAACTATCAGTCTAGGGATTTGAATACATATGTTCCATTAATAGATTCTGGATGAATATTTTGTTTCCCTAGGGAGATGTTTGAGGAGACACCAGGACTGGTTGGATGTGTTCGTGGCATGGTCTACAATGGTGTTCATTATGATCTCACTAGTGACACTGACCCAAGGTATGATAGAAAATCTCTGACCTGAGATTTTTACATAACATCTGACCCTAGAGCCATTCTAACTCACCTTTGACCTAAGGTTTGATAAGTCAACCCAGGAAAAATAATCTTTTATCATTGACCCATTGAATGACAAATAACCTCTGACCCCAATGTATGAAACATAACCTCTGACCTCAAGTATGATATAAGGAATTGTTAACTTTAGATCCATTGTATGACATTTCAGAAAAACTTCAAACTCCTGTTTTATAACACTTTGTTGATAACCTAGTATTCAAAGATGTTTTATTAAATGAATCCAGCCATGCACTTGACAATTCTTTTGTATCATGAAATCAATGCAAATGTTCAAAGATTTTTTTTCTATTTTCTCTTTCATCTGGCATAGAATGTGTGTATTTAAAGCAATTCTGTGTTCTTTTCATTTCTGTATTTCTTTATGAATTTTTTAAGTTATCCTGAGGTAAAGCCAGGCTGTACAGCCTCATGTTGGACCGACCCCTGTCAGAATGGAGCAAGATGTGTGGAAGGCTGGGGTACTTACCAATGTATATGTTCTAACTCATGGGCACACATGGGTCACAGCTGTGAAATCAGTAAGTAAACTCTGTAGAAGGAGTGTGAAATATCAGTAAACTTTCAGGAAGTGTGGCTTTTGTTGAGTTGTTTTCCCCTTGTTCATCCTTTATACATCTGTAATGAGGAAAATGTTGAGTTGTCTCCCCTGAATCAACTTGTCTGTATAGCTAAGTGTTCCCTTAGTTTCAGGAATTTAGAAATTTGCTGACTAGTCTTTTCTGCATGGCTTATCAAGGGTTCCCTCAATTTCGAGAGGTAAAACAATTGCTGAGTGAGTTATCTCCCCACAATAGACTTTACAGCTTGACTTTTTGGGGGTTTCTTTATTTTTGGAAATTCGTAAATTGTTGAGTTGTCTCCCCTGGCTTATCTCTTATCACATATTGAGGATTCATTTTTCAAAAAGGTAGTTAATTGTTAAAGACTGTCATAAGAAATTTACACCAAGATTAGAAATTGTATGAACTTCTTTACTATTTAAAAGTAGCAAAACAGTTTTTGGGCGAGTTTGTTTTATTTCCCAAAATTGTGTAATACAAGACCTGTCTATAAAGTTCTCTCCAGTAACTTTCAAGTGAGTGGACTTGTATAGAGATTTGATAATTATAGATGGTATTGCAACAGGGACTCAAATCAAATGGCCTTTACAGACAGAAGTATGTGGCTTTTATAGACAGGTAATTATTATATGAAAGGGGCCTTTACAGACAGGTCATTGTTATATGAAGGTGACCTTTATAGACAGGTAATTATCATATAAAGGTTGCCATTAAGGCAGATTTTGCTATATCTAACTGTCTTTATAAATTTTTTATAGATATAAATGAAGATGCCGTCTCATTCAACGGATCGATAACATCATTTCTGGAGATTGACAACGGTGATGACCTCTCCATGCTAGAATCCACCATTATTGTAAGCTTCAGGACAACAAACCCTCGTGCCCTCCTTCTTTATATCTATGATCACCTTAACAACTTTATCCAGCTGGAAGTGACAGGTCCGAGACGACTACGCCTCAGTTATAACCATTTTGATGTGATCAAGGAAGGTGTTCTCTTCACTGATGGTAAGGCAAACATAAACCCTTCATCAATAGGCATCTGTTTATGTGTTGAAAGAAGTCTCATCAAAGTCTGAAAACTTGGTGAGTTCTATAACTCTGTGATGGAGAAAGTGTCAGTGATATTGGTCAAAGAAATTTGTAACATCCTCCCAACAAAGTTATAGTAATTGCTGCAGAGATACACAATAGTTTTTTTTCAGGACCCTGTGATAGTACAGATTATTTGTACAAACAAAACAATCAACGCAGAAACACTTTCTAAGATCCCTGTGATATGAAAGACAAAATTGATTCAAACAAATACAAAACTTACCGATTGGTAAAACAGATAAACAGGATATTCTACTTGGTTACAGGTCTGGACGATGGCACCTGGAAACAAGCAGTTATACAGTTCCTACAGGGTGGTGACCGAGGGGTGAAGTTGATACTAGATGGTCTCCAAACTATTGTGCCATTTCGTACCCTGAAACTCAGTCAGTACTCAGACCAACCCTTCAATACAGGAGGTAAGAAAATTGGTGGAGAAAATCAGAAGAATTGTATAGAATGAGATGACCTCATGATAAAATAGAAAGATAAGTTGTAGTGTGTAGTGATCAGTTGTTCATTAACATGAATGATTATAATAATAATGTAGTAAATATGGGTATTAATTTGTCATTGTTTTTACAATGAGATATTTATCAGGCAATAAGCATATGCCTTGTAATAAGCCCATCCCATTCTATAAATTCTTTTCACTTTCAGCAGGATTCCCTTTAAGTTCAAAACATTGATCATCCTGTAATAGACATGCCCCAGTGACATTGAGTGAGAGGTGTATAGGACACTGATCTCACTGTATCTATCCTGGCTGGAATAATCCCAGGGGGGAGGGGACATAAACTGTGCTCGATCAGAGAATGGCCTTACTGATGGATGTATCATTTGTTTGTTTATGTACTTACTGTTAACAGCAGTAGGAAAGTGTGAAACTACTGTCAGGCTATAGAGATGGGTGAAACTACTGTCAGGCTATAGAGAAGGGTGAAACTACTGTCAGGCTATAGAGAAGGGTGAAACTACTGTCAGGCTATAGAGATGGGTGAAACTACTGTCAAGCTATAGAGAAGATTGAATCTATTGGCAGGCTATAGAGAAGGGTGAAACTACGGTCAGGCTATAGAGAAGGGTGAAACTACTGTCAGGCTATAGAGAAGTGTGAAACTACTGTCAGGCTATAGAGATGGGTGAAACTACTGTCAAGCTATAGAGAAGATTGAATCTTTTGGCAGGCTATAGAGAAGGGTGAAACTACGGTCAGGCTATAGAGAAGGGTGAAACTACTGTCAGGCTATAGAGAAGGGTGAAACTACTGTCAAGCTATAGAGATGGGTGAAACTACTGTCAGGCTATAGAGAAGGGTGAAACTTCTGTCAAGCTATAGAGAAGGGTGAAACTACTGTCAAGCTATAGAGAAGGTTGAAACTACTCTCAGGATATAGAGAAGGGTGAAACTACTGTCAGGCTATAGAGAAGGGTGAAACTACTGTCAAGCTATAGAGAAGGTTGAAACTACTCTCAGGATATAGAGAAGGGTGAAACTACTGTCAAGCTATAGAGAAGGGTGAAACTACTCTCAGAATATAGAGAAGGGTGAAACTACTCTCATGCTATAGAGAAGGTTGAAAATATTGTCAGGCTATAGAGAAGGGTGAAAGAACTGTCAAGCTATAGAGATGGGTGAAACTACTGTCAGGCTATAGAGAAGGGTGAAACTATTGTCAGGCTATAGAGAAGTGTGAAACTATTGTCAGGCTATAGAGAAGGGTGAAACTACTCTCAGGATATAGAGAAGGGTGAAACTATTGTCAGGCTATAGAGAAGGGTGAAACTACTGTCTGGCTATAGAGAAGGTTGAAACTACAGTCAGTCTAAAGAGAAGGGTGAAACTACAGTCAGGCTATAGAGAAGGGTGAAACTACTAAATTAGCAAAATTATTGATCACTTCTGTTGGATCCTAAACTCGGGAAGCAGTTTTTATAGATCAGCACTTGGTAAAGTCTCTTTCTTATATGTGAGAAAAATGGTCTCCGTTGGAGGGTAATGGAAATGTTATAGACATAAATGATGAACTGTTAATATCATGTGATTATTTCTTGTAACACTTTCTTACACTTATAAATGAATTATTACAGAGATAAGAGAGACAGTATTTCCAATAAGAAATGCAGAGTCACCTCCCTTTGTCCGCATGTTTGTGGGAGGAAGTTCTAGTCAGAGGACCAGCATTCCTACCCTTAATGGTTGTATGAGAGGACTGAAGATTGGCAACAGAGTTATCTCCCTTCAAGAAGAAGCTAGGCATACAGCTGGTAAGAAAATATGTACATTAGGTCATTTTCACTTCAACTGTAGACAGTTAGACTAGTTGAAGTTTGGACTGATGCTGCCCAAAGCAAACTGGTTGAATACCCATAATTTTTTTTTATATAAACCAGTTTGGTGCTCACTGATCTTTTGGAAAATTCACCATGAAATATTCCTTAACACTTGGATCCTGTTTCGAGCAGGTTATACAAAAAAAAGCTTTTGTGAAATAATCTCACCATAGTTACTCAGACTGATGACATGGATTGTTGTAGGGACAATAAGTACATAACGGAAGTTGTCTCCATGTTTACTCTGTCATAAAGAACATTCTTACAAGATGTCTTTTTTCATTTTCTTTTTTACTTTATATATATATATATATATATATATATATTACTTGCGATTTATGATGTACTTTTGTGATTCAGGTGTAGAGGGAGCATGTCACAGTGGCTGTATAAACCAGCCCTGCCACAATGGTGGCTACTGCTGGGAGAAATGGGGGCTCAGCGACTATGAGTGTGACTGTACCAACACAGCCTATGCAGGCAAACAGTGTGACATAGGTAAATAAAAGGGGCAGTCTCAAAATTAAACATTTGTCACATCCCTGTACATTTGGGGACATTCTTAAAACCAAACAACTGTCAGAACAATTTATATTTGGGGGTAGTCTCAAAGCCAAACATCTGTCTCATCAATTTATATTTCGGGATAGTCTAAAACCAAAGGTGGGCCACTTTACTGGGCTTCGGGATAGTATAAGAAGCAAATGTGATTCATTTAACTTGGCAAACTGGGGAAGGCTCAAAACAAAGTATTTGTCCCATCAATTAACACTTTGAGTTGTCTCAAAACCAAACATAAACCACATTGCGGAATAACTTGCCATAATTAAATATGTACTGGTAGATTTTACTTCAGATGAATGTACAAAAGAATATAGAAAAAATATTGAATTGATAGTTTTAATCAAATACATGTTTTGTTGCTTTTATCTAGAGGCATCTGGGACATTTGGTGGTCAGTCTGTGGTGGAATACATTTTCACTCCGAACGGTCAAGCACTTCGCACGTCCACTGAGAAGATATCCCTAGTGTTTCAGACCAATGCAACAGGAAGTCAGCCCATGATCCTTATTGTTGTTATCAGCTCAAGGTAATAGGTCAAGGTTATCAAACCTTTAAGTTCAAAGGTTAAGTGCCAAACACAGATTTCAAGTTCCAACTCTTGAGTTCGACATGGGAAGTCAATAATTTGACCTTAGCTCAAGGTCAGATATTAAATTCTTGTCCTTAGATTATATGACTAGATGTTAATTATTTAAGGACATGAGATTAAAGCTTCAGCTTAAGGTTACAAGTCACTTTTTCTTGTAAATGATTGATTGTTTGCTCTTTAAGAAATTGTATGTAGAATTTTTTCTCATTTCAAGGTTTAAGTCTAAATATATCCTCAACTCAAGACAACACCAGAGATCTTACTCCCCAAATAAACATTAATAGTTTAAGCTTCCTTTGGGTGCTAATTATGTCTCTGTGTTGTAGCCATACTGACCATGATTTTGTCACTCTGTGGATGAAACCAGATAGTGGTGTCCATGTGACCACAAGTCAAGGTGGAGTTCATCGTAAGTATATATCATTATTGACTTACCTTAAACTTGGCAGAATGTCCCTTCACTGGTCATGTAAGCCATCATCTTCTTCTAAAAAACCATGATATTTAGAATGAAGTTTTGTGTTTTACTTGATCACAACAATAAATTAATTATCTATGTCCATATTCAGTTAAAAGATAAAAGTTTAGAAGAATTTTGAATTACATAATGGTTTTTTGGGTCGTGATATTTGCAAATGTTTTATCTTTTTTGATTTAGGAGCTGTCAAGCAAATGTTATCTTGACATACAATAACAGTCAATTGTTTGAACAAGTTTTCAACAAGTTCTGTTTTTAATCCATTACCATAAAGCCTGTAATAAGTGAAGGTACTGAAGTAAAGATATGACTGCAATGTCCTGATTGGCTAAAATTTGCATTTGGCACTCACTGATTTTGTCCCATCACTGTTTGATGCAGGCCTCTTTCATTTTCTTTTTTTTTTATTTCACTGTATGCTAAGATATGTGGACAGCGATAAAATATTTAGAATTTTTTGTCCTTCGAAATTCTAGACTTTTTTAATTTTTAGGTCACCTGAGACAAAATCTCAAGGTGACCTATTGCAATCCCCTTTTACCAACATCATCTATCCTGCTTCATAAACTTTAAACATTTTGGATGACTTCTAGAAAACTCCAGAACCAATTTCAGTGAAATTTTACGAAAACCTTCCATGGCTAAAGGCACACCAAGAGTATGCATTATATGGTTCCCAACCTTTAGGGGCCTTAGGGGCTGGGCCAAAAAGGGTCAAATTGATGGAAAGTTTAAAAGCCTTCTTTTCTAATCCCAGATATGGTAGAATCAAATACTCTTCATGGATGAAAAGGCCTCAGAAGCTTAACCAAAATTGTAAATTTCAGGACCCTAGGGCCTCGCATTTCCCCCTGGGGAGGGGGTAAAATTTACAATAGTTTATATATATATTTTTGAACATCATTTGTTAACTTTCTATTGGGAATTATTCAGACTTGGTCAGAATTATGAGTATAAGCTGACAGTTTGATGAGATCAGATATTGACCTTGACTGATGGGGGGGAGGGGGGCCAAAAATGGGTCAAATGGACACAAATTTCAAAGATGTTCCACTGTTCATGGATGGATGATTTTATGTAGGAAAATTCAATTTTTGAGTTTCATTTCTTTTAATTGAAACTTGGTGAGAAGCCTTAGCATGGGACAGTTAATGTTATACAGTTTACATTTGAATTATGTGTACAATGTAGCAAAAGTTATCTTACATTTATAACAAAATCATTTCTATGACATGTTACAAGAAGCGTTGTAACTCAGGTGACTTTTAAGGCCCTCAGGAGGCCTCTTGTTCTGTGTTTCAAATTGTCTAGATTTTTCCTAACTTTTCAGTGTCCACCCAAGCAATTTTCCCTACCTGGGTTTGGGAAGTTGAAAGTGCATTCACCACTAGTTTATCCTTTGATCATCTAGTACTGTGTTTCTGGCTGTGACTTTAATTTAAATTTGCTCTCATACCTACAGATGGGCTGAGTCTCAATGGAAATTTTGCAGATGGCAAGCCTCATACCCTGATATACCAACACTCTAACTCTGAAATGTCGCTGAAGGTAAGTCACCTTTGTCAGAGTATTATTAAATGTTACTTTTGATTTCAGAGAAGCAGACTCATTTTTAGGTCATCTGACCCGAAGGGTCCGATGACCTATAGTCATCATGCTTCGTCCGTCGACGTGCGCCGTGCGCTGTGCGCTGTGCGCCGTGCGCCGTGCGCCGTGCGCTGTCCGTAAACTTTTCATTCAAACGACTTCTTCTCAAATACTAGAAGGTCTAGGGGGCTAATACTTGGCACAGAGGATACTGGCATGGAGCTCTACCAAGTTTGTTCAAATGAATGACCTTGACCCACTTTAAAGGTCACAGGGGTCAAATATGTTAAAATCTTTAAACAACTTCTTCTCATTAACCAAAAGGCTCAGAGTGTAGATATTGGGCCTGTGACATGCTGGGATGAAGGACTACCAAGTTTGTTCAAATGAATGACCTTGACCCACTTTAAAGGTCACAGGGGTCAAATATGTTAAAATCTTTAAACAACTTCTTCTCAATAACCAAAAGGCTCAGATTGCTGATATTGTGCCTGTGGCATGCTGGGATGAAGGGCTATCAAGTTTGTTTAAATGAATGACCTTGAACAACTTTCAAGGTCACAGGGGTCAAATATGTCAAAATCTTTAAATAACTTCTTCTCAAATACTAGAAGGCCTAGGGGGCTAATTTGGCCCATGCATGCTGGCATGGAGCCCTACAAAGTTTGTTCAAATGAATGACCTTGGCCCACTTTCAAGGTCACAGGGGTCAAATATGATAAAATATACAAAGGACTTCATCTCAATAAGCAAAAGTCTATGAGTGCCGATATTGGGTCTGTAGCATGCTGGGAGGAAAGGCTACCAAGTTTATTTAAATGAATGACCTTGAACAACTTTCAAGGTCGCAGGTGTCAAATATGTCAAAATCTTTAAATAACTTCTTCTCAATTCCTCGTCTGCCTAGGGGGCTAATACTTGGCCCATAGCATGCTGGCATGGAGCCCTACAAAGTTTGATGAATACCTTGGCCCACTTTCAAGGTCACAGGGGTCAAATATGTTAAAATATACAAAGGACTTCATCTCAATAAGCAAAAGTCTATGAATATGTCTGTAGCATGCTGGGAGGAAGGTAATGACCTCAACCCACTTTGAAGGTCACAGGGGTCAAATAGTTAAAATATACAAACGATTCAACAAGCAAAAGTCCATGAGTGCTGATATTGGGCCTGTAAGATGCTTGGAGGAGAGGCTACCAAGTTTGTTCAAATGAATGACCTCAACCCACTTTCTAGGTTTGGCTTGCTTTTTGTCAGATGACCGTTAAGGCTCATGGGCCTCTTGTTGATAAAATGTTTCGACTTTGAAGATTTGGGAAAAATTCTTTGGAGGCTGTTGCCCTTGTTTACATAATGTTAAGTGTAGAAAGTTTTGTAAATATTGTAAACAATATTTTGAGTGAAGATTTTTCAGTTAGAACTTTATAAACATAATTTTGAGTATTTTATTCTAAGCAAACTTTTTGTATAATGGTAAATGCATTGGTTTTATATTGCAGATTGCTTTTTGTGTATAGCATCAAAGCACTTTAGATAATAGTATCATATTTTGAATTGCATGTTTGTAAAAGAATGTTTTGAGTTAGCTTATTTTTTGTTTAAATTTAGATTGTTTATAATTTTTTCTGTAATAAATGTTTATAATTATTCTGTAAACAATATTATTTGAGTATTCAATTTTAGAACAATATCATATTTTGAAACAATGAATGATACTTTGTGTATTGTATTCCTAGAAAATCATGTTTTTATTTTCATATTTAAAAGATTTTTTGTCTAAAACTTTTTGAAATTACATTTTTCAAGAAATTTTATATTTTCAGTAGTATTTGTTTGAAATAAATATAATTTTTCAACTAGATGTACATAAATGTAGAGCATTCCATTTTGGATGCTATAGCCCTGCTGCAAAAAAATCAGATTTTCACATGTTTGTATTCACACACCAGTGTTTCATTTGAATCAAGATATTTGTAAACAATTTCTTGAGTTTTGTGTTATAAGAAGGATGTCCATTTTTAATTGCTTCTTGTAAGATTTCTGTGAAAAGTGTTTTTGAGTATTATTGTATAAGTTGAGATGATATGATGGATGTGTAACGTACAGGTACTCGGGACAACAAATGTGAGTACACACGCACCATTGGCATGTGATTGGCTAATGTTACGTGTTCACCATTTCTGCCTCAAGCTTCTTCCATATATGTATATATAAAAAAATGTAATATCACACCGGCTTGTATATGTAAAAGTCAACTACTGACATTGGGCGGATGTTGTCTGCTTCATGTGACATTCCAAAATAATTTCTTCTGTTTCCACTAATTACCCAGAATCCTCTATGGTTCTCTCTGTTGACCACTTCCTGCTATAGCAAACAGTAATTTATATAGTTTTAAACAATGTTTTCTACAAATTATGTTGAGGAATCAACAATATGTTAAATGTACTTAATATTGCAGTCAACTTTTGCAAAGAAGAAAAAGAGAAAAAAAAAAAGAAAAAAAAAGAATTTTTCAATCTTCAAACCTAAATATTTAAGTTTTTCTGGTTTTTTTTCTTGGTGATAATCAAGCTTTTCTGCCATTTTGTGTCAATGTTGGTACAATCTTTGTTGATAAGTATTGATAACTTAATGTTGTCCTGTAAACTGCTGTACTGGGGATCATTCATCAAAGAAAAGACAAGATCATTTAAAATTTAACAAAATTATCTCCACTATTAAAGATACCGGTATACTTATATGGCAGTGAATTCCATTACAGAAATAAGAATGCAGCTTGACTGTTGTCAGACTAGAGAAATATATTTGAAGTAATATACAAAAGATAAAAAGGACCAAATTCAAAACAAAAAGAAAGAACTTCAAACTTTGTTCCAGTCCTGTTCAGCTATTGAAATAAATGTTCAGCATTCTAATACATATTGATAATAAATCTACATGATTTTATGGCCATTTTCACAAGTTTCTCTTTCAATTACTAAATGCTGTCCCAGAAATAATGGTAGAAAATACATGCTGTTTGGTTTGAATCAGCATATACTTGGAGTATCATGCAATATTTATAAAATAAAAAAAATTAGTTGCCAGCCAATGCTGGGATAATCAATATTTCAGATTCTTATTCAATAATATAGTTTTCATCAATATCCAAGATATAAGATTTTAAATTTTATCTGCACTCAGTCACAATAATGTTTTAAACAAGAGGTATTTCATGAATATGACTCTGATTTTCGTGGCCAGTTTGGATACCACTGCATGATGGTAAGAAATGTGACAGAAGAGGTAATCCAGAAAAAACCTCCCGTATCTCCCAGTTGTAACATTAATGGGACCTCTCTCTCTATTTTCCATCCATCTACCCATTTGATTCAGTAACATTTCCATTTTCCTTACTAGGTAAACCATTTCTGGAGTGTGACCTGTTGAACTGTATGATATAATATTTTGTGATAGGTGATGACGTATTGTTCACTTCAGATATTTAAATGGTTCCTATAGGGATTTGCTGTCATCTCTTGTTGAGTTTACTGCCAACAATTATGAAGAAAAAGAAATTTGAGCAATTTTAATTGTTTATTTTTCAAGGTAGTTTGTTAGCTCACCTGGCCCGCTGGGATAACGGGCTATGAAGTTTGTTCAAATAAATGACCTTGACTCACTTTCAGGGTTACATGGGTCAAATGTATGAAAATCTTCTAACAACTCATTAACTGAAAGTCACTGGATACTGATATTGGACCTGTGGCATGCTAGGATGAAGTGCTACGAAGTTTGTTAAAATTAATTACCTTGAACCACTTTCAGGTGATAGCTGAAAAGTTAAATAAGACAGGTGAATGATGCAGGCCCCTTTGGCCTCCTGTATATGTTTTGCATATTAAGGGATTTAGTATCAGATATTTCTACTGTTTTACTGGAAAATGAATTCTTTCAGACTATCAGGTGAGGTATTCATTTGTAATAAGTTTGAGGTTTTAAAAACTTTTTAGGCTTTTAATTCAACACCACAGTTTACAAGAGAACAGTTAGAATTACCTGGTAGCTCTTTTCACTCTATGTTCAGTTGAACACTTTATGGAGAGGAGAGTTGAGGGGGGAGCATGTCTGTCATGGTATGTAGATGGCACATACAATGTCTTTAGACCTTATTTAAAGAAAGGTCATATTTCACTGTCAACCCCCTACATGTATACATTGCACCCTTTTTACTTACCTTTACTTACAGATTATCTTGGTATATAAAATATAGATTATCTTGGTATATAAGATATAGATTATCTTGGTATATAAGATATAGATTATCTTGGTATATAAAATCATGGTACAACTGACCTTTATTTGACTTTTACTTGACCTTTAGAAGACTATTCATTGCTGATTGAAGTAGTACTTATTATATTATGGCTGTTAATGACTTGATATGTACTTGATCATTAAATGACTCCTGCTTAATCATTTGGTGACCTTCAACTTTGTTTTATTTGACCAGAATTCTATGCTAGTTAAAATTATGATACTTCAGATATTCCGTTAAAGAACATCTTAATGTATGTTTTATAAAATTGTAAATTATAACTGGGGAGACATGAATGTCATTCATATTGTTTTTGTAAATTTTAAAAATCAGGTGTTGTAGAATATCATAACTATTGACACTTTTCCAATGTTGCTGTTAACAAATGGTAAATGCATAATATCAAAATAAAAAAAGACATTTTTGGAAACAGAACGAAAGTTAGCAACTTAGAATTTAGCAAGTTAGCAAAATTGAAATTGTGATTTGTTCTCTGGTACGTTTTCATTATGTGACCTCCTGCCAAACTATTGATAAAATGACCATTGTCCACCATCCTTTAATAGTATGAAAATATATAGACGTTACAGTACAAGAATAGCCATTGAAGGCTGTGTTGCATGTCACCTCCAGTAAGTGAGCACATGAAAAGTAAGGGATTATAAGTTGCTGCTTGTTGTGTGTTTTTTTTTCAGTGGAAGAGTATTGTTGTTAAAGACCTTATGTTGCATAAGCTATTGACACTAAAAAGTTAAGTACGAAGCTTCTGGACTGCTGGCACTCGGGTACATCTAGTAAATCTTAAATAAAATCACAAAAAGATATTCTGTGAGAGAGATGGCAATGTCTTAAGATTAACTCAAACAGAGACAATATAATGGGATGTTAGACTGAGGTTAATTTTCTTGTTTTGACAGGTTGATGTAGAGGCTATGGAAACTGTGCCTGTCTCTAACAATCCTCTCCAGGTCCTCGACACAGTACTAGTGGGAGGGTTTACACAAACCAGTGTGTACGATAACTTCAGTCATCGCAACAAATATCGCAACTTCACAGGCTGTTTGTCAGGTGTGTATTTATCAGACAATAAACCCATGTCTGGTAATAAGCCCACCTATATAAACGGATGTTCAGTAAAATTATAAAGTAGATCTACTTCATGGTCTTGTTATAAGCCAACCCCCTGACATAGAAGTGATCCCTCTGGGCTAGCTTCAGATTTAATGTGGTTTTTGTAAATCTCGTCAAATATTACAACTCAGCAGACTGTTTGTCAGATGTGTAACATTACTGGTGTAGTCTACTCGTTGTCTGAGGAAAGAATCGCATAGCCAGCTTTCTCACCATGGAAAGAATCATGGATTATGTTACCCATTGCATGTTAAGGTTTGTCATCAAATCTATCTAAATCAGCTTTAAATACCACTAAAAGTGAACAGGTGACAGGCAGTATATTGGAATTAATTATATTTACAGTGGTAAGGTTTGAACCTGTAGCTGGTGAAAGGATATACTTACAACAGCCCCTGAAGTCTCTCCGCGACAACATCAATAGCTCCATAGTTATTCATGGTAACAAAGTGGATCCGTGCTCATCACCCATCGCCATAGACCTGCAGCGCGATGCTACTACTACAACAACCCACCCAACAACGGGAAATAGGGCTTTACAGGTGAGAGGGAACAGATATGTGTTTTTCAGAACTGGTTGTTTTTACCATTTTTATACTATAATTTTAATGCAGCTGGGAATTAATTAAGATGCTTCTATGTATAAATTCAATGGTAACGATGATAACACACTACAAATATGTTTGAATTTCTTTGTATGATATAATTGGAATTAAAAGCAGAAAATAAGATTGAATTTCATATTCATATTAAGAGAACATATTTTATCATATAATTTGAAATTACCGTTAAGCTCACAGATGATTAATACCAGTTAGTTGGAGTGGCAATTGGTTGGAGTCATAAGGTGGCTCAACTGTAACATACTTTCATTTCACCTAGGTGACTAGGGTTTTGTTTCCCGATTGAGCATGAAAAAGTGTTAGGTCCACCTACTTGACCAATACCCCACCAATTTCAATATCTCCTCTGTGTTGTGCCACCACCCCAACCCCACCCAAACCCCACCCAAACCCCACTCCAACCAAACCCCAACCCCACCCCAACCCCACCCTCACCATTCATCATAATTATGTGTTTCCATCAAAGTCATCTAGAAATAAAGAACTTCTTTTATAACTGTTGTAAAATCAAATCCACTTTTTCAATCACACTGGATCTTTTTTCAGAAGCTTATGATGCCTCCGTGGAACCCTGGGCCAGCAGAGACTATTTTCCTGAACCCGCCTAAGCCTAAGACAACAACTACCACACCCGCCCCTACAACCACTGTTACTGTGTCTACGACTATGGCAACCACACCACAGGCAAACCTAACTCGCCCAAGACCGGTCCTGGAGTCCAGATTCATGAATGACGAAACCATTGGTGAGTTGATTAAATTGTGTAGACATTCCAGTCAAAGTGTCATAATTGTCATATGTTTGGACTTCTGTGTAATCCTGTAGACCTCTTTGTTGCATTATTATACAGGCCCTGTGAGATTTTTTGTTACACTATATACAGACCCTATATGCCTCTTCATTACATCATTATATAGACTCTGTAGACCCCTTTGTTACATTATTATACAGGCCTTGTCAGCCTCTTTGATACATTACATACAGACACTGTGGGCCTCTTTGTTACATAACATACAGACCCTGTGGGCCTCTTTGATACATTACATACAGACCCTGTGGGCCTCTTTGATACATTACATACACACCCTGTGGGCCTCTTTGATACATTACATACACACCCTATGGGCCTCTGATATATGACATACACACCCTATGGGCCTAGATTTATTATAACATAAATATGATATTTTTCAGTGATCCTGATGTGTGTTATTGTGTTTATCCTGCTCATCACAATCATCATCACACTTATCCTGTGGCGGTTTAAGAAAAAGAAGGGCTATCGCTTTAAACAGAAGGAAGACTATGAAATGAAACAACCGTTAAATCATACTTCGGGTTCTAGTCCACCAATCAGTCCTGCTGCAAGTGCTCCTGTCAGTCCCGCACTAAAGGACCATCTAGCTAGACTGGACGAGTTCTCCATGGTATCAGCGACATTGGGACGTATGTATGATGGATGTATTTACATCGTCATTTCTGATGTGATAGTAATTATCACACTTATAATAGAGAAAAGGCTCTGATAGAAGTTAACCCTATTTGATTTTCCATTTTCCGAAAGTTTGGAAATGCTGGCTAAGAGGAGTTTACATTCACAGCTCACACTCGAACCTGAAATCCTAAAGTTTGCTCAATTCCAAATCAGAACAAAATACACTTTAGTGGTGTCAGATTTGAAGTTGTAAATTTCTGCGGTCTGTCACCCTCTGTGTTGATTAGTTCAAGGTGCTTTGGTGAATGCCATGTTTCTGTAAACAGTGCCCAGGATGTGACATTTTAATGACCTCAATGGAATGTCCAGTCATGTTAAATCTTTCCTCATTGTGGGAAAAAAAGAAAACAACCCTCCATTGAAGTGAATCTGCTGTAGTTTTAAAGCTGCCAGACAAAAGACACAATGCTGATGTACTTTGATATTTAGGCAACTTTTATTTGTATATGAAATGAGAACAACTCTTTTATTCCATAGACTTGCATGTAGTTTTTATAGTTCAAGTCACAGTTTAACAAAAACTTGATTGATCTCTTCCTTAAATGATCCTCTTTTTACTTTCCAGCATCTTTACGGCGACATGAAAATGGCATCCGACCTGGATTGGAGGTAGGCTTATTGAGTTTTTTTTATACTGTAAAATGAGATGTCTTCATGGGACTTGAATTCTGTGGTATTTCAGATATATATATATATATATATATGGCCATTGTAACACAATTGACAAAGGAAGACAATTTTTAACTTGTGTTTTGTTGGAGCCTGGAACTTATGATTCATGGCACCATATCACCAAGACAGAAAATTCCACTCTGCCTAGCCATCATACCACCATGATATCCCCAAAAAGGATGTTTGGAAATTGTATAACAGACAGCTCAAAATTCTCAACATGATCGTTGTGGCAAATTGTCTAATTACGAGATAAGAACACCTGCAAAATCTATACATACATGGATACAAATTGTACTAATAACACACCTACTATTTTGTTGGGACTTGATAGGAGTGGCAAAATACACTTGTACCAAAATTTTATATCAATTTGTAAATATCATAGCGAGGTCATATAAATTCATATGTTGTGCATGCCATAATTCAAAAAAATAATATGAATTTTATTCAAAGCCGTTGCTAAGCCAAGAAGAGGATCAACCGGAATATACTATGCAAACGTTTTTCAACAAAAAGAAAAATCGACCGGCATCTTCAATCTCAGAGGTGTTGGAAGAAATGGAGAGACAGCGTAGAAGTAGAGGTAAGAATTTAAATGTCAGAACACATTGCAGTGGTTTTCTTACGGTAGCAGGAAACAGTTACTGATAATTTGCTTTTTTTCTGAAATTATTGGTCATGTTTCAGATATACAGATATAGCAGTTTGGTTATGAAAAATACATCATTATATGAATATATATTTATTAACTACATAACAATTACATTAATAGTGGAGAGATAAAATTTGTGTGAATCAAATCTGCTTTCGGACATGTGATTGCTATGGTTACCAACTGAAAAAATGATAAAAAAGCAAAAATACTGCTAATTCCACCCTAACACTACAACTTTATAGATGAAATTTATTTCTGAACACTTGTCTTAAAATCAACAACACTGTCATTGTAACTAACTACTTACATTTCAACAAATTCCAACTCGGAAGTCCTTCACAACATGACCACATCTAAACACTTTGAAAATTTCACTTCCTGTTTTTGGTGTGTAGACACAGATTTGAGACTTTCCGAATAGCAATCTCCAACACAAAGCTAAAATATTATTCTGAAAAAATGAAACCCAACATTGTCCACTTCAACAGGACAAGACCAATGTTAGCAAAGTTTTAATTTTTTTTTAATTGTAATTAAAACCTTTATAATTGAGTAATCTAATGAACAAAACAATCACCCGTGGCCACACCAAAAACTGTGTACTGCTACCTATTGACTGCATTTATATCTTTTGTTAATATAGTCAAACTTGTCTTAAAGTCCACCATTCTATAAAGGCCATTTTTCCGGTTGTGTATTTCATACAGTTCATAATAATTGGACCTCTATGTAAAGGCCACTTGCCTATAAATGTGATTTTTCTCAGAGCCTACCACTCCTGTTGCATGCATGTTCCTCTTTATACTACCTCACTTTGGATTTGATTTGAGCCTCTGCTCATGTGAGCATGACTTTGGGATTTCCCCCAAATCATCACATACCGAAGTCATCAAAATACCAAGTAGTTCCCTGATTGTCCCTCAGGGTTGAATGGGATGTAGGAACACTGGTTAGTTGATTGTAACTATTAACATATCCAGGTTTTGATATTTCAGGGTGATATCACTATAACAGTGCATAGCAATGGCTCCAGTGACAGTGGACACTGTCTTCATATGACTCTTGCTCTTACAAGGACAGAAAATCTAAAACAAATTCAAATTTATTGTCTTAATATTGTGATTTTTGAACTCCCAAATACTGTCCGTTTTAGAGTGCAATGTTATATATTGTCCATTTTTAAATAGACTTCATGTAGGTAATATCCATTTCAGACCCAGATACAGGCCGAGGGGTAGGAGAAAGCCCGCAGGAAGAGGACCCTCCTGACTTGGATGTACCAGGGAGAAACCCTGTCGAAAAGGTATTTATCTCCTACACTTGGTCTATTGCTTATACCACCAAAGATCTTTGTTACATGACTGAGATAATCCCTCTTCACAGATTGGCCAAGAGGTCTCCAACAGGTTTTGATAAAATGCAATCTTAATCTGAAAGTGAAGACATCCTGTACAAGAGTTTATCATCATTAATTGATAACCTTGCCAAAAAAATATTTAAAAACGTTTGTGGTAAAAACTTATCTTTAGTTAAAATATGGACATCTTGAATGATATATTATGTAACAAAGCAGTTGAAAACTTTTTAGTTCATCATGCCTCATCCGTCATCATGCTCCGCCCGCTGTGCGTCGTATGATGTGCTCAGTTGTGGCAAACCTTTTACAATTTTGCAAAACACTTTTATTTTCTTTCCAAATCCCTTCCCCTGCCCCCATATTTAAAAAAAAGATTAAATAAAGATAGTTAAAATGAGAGATGTTTACTGAGAATGTTTAAATACAAATTTGCAGATTGACGACCAAGATGTGGAAGGAAGAGATACGGGAAGTGATCCTCTACTGATGGACGAGCCAGTCGCAAATCACACAGCTGACAGTGGATATGAAGCAGAATCACGCCCGCTTACCAATACACCTTCACCCCCCTCCCCACAAAAGTCTTATTTGGACGAATCCATTACCTCTCCACCTTCACCCAAATCATACCTGTATGAGCTGGCTGGCTTTAACGGCAGTGAAGCTCCAAACTGTGCCTCAACGCCACGTAAAAGTTCCACAGATAGTCCGGAGGTCATTACGTAGATGTTGAAAATGAGCTACACCTATAATCTATACCTGAACATGTAGCATGTTTGTTGGAGGCTACGAAAAGTGTTCAAGTGATACATATTCCAAAGATGTGTATAATGTTGACAGGCTAGATATTTTTTATCAGAAGATAATTAATGAAAACTGTTAATTTATTGACAAATGAAATATTTTACTTTGATGAAGAAAAAATAAGATTGCATATAAACACATTATGGGTGAAGATAGGTATGTCATATGTGCGCAACCGTTTCCTAAGCATTATTTACTGTTTTCATATACATATTTATTTGTGCAATACGATGCATTCCACAAATGTTGTGGCACAAGAAAACGATCTGTTTATATGTTCGAGAGGTGGGAAGGACAGATTTCTGGAGAGTCCTCTTCTGATGGAATCTACTGGATCTGTTTATATGTTCGAGAGGTGGGAAGGACAGATTTCTGGAGAGTCCTCTTCTGATGGAATCTACTTACTGATATTCATTTCTAAGTGATTCTAATATTTCTTTTTAAGTAAGTTTGTTTCCCTTTGTTGGAAAACAGCATGTGAGTTTTACGATCTAAAGTAATAAAAAGTGATAGTTGCACAATTTTGCATCTTGTCAGCTGAAATGACCACAATTAAAGGTGATTAATTTTATGTTTTGATCAGCTTAAGCTGCAGATCTTAGATAGTGGAGACAGGAGAATTGTATTGAAAAATTTGTATTTGTGACAGTATAAAACTCCAGTCTCGTGTATGGATGGAACCATGTTTTATGAGAAGCAGAAATAAACAGTATGTAAGTCTAGTGTATATGAGGAAGACTGGTACATAGATGATAAATATGTACATTTTGGTGAGTGAATTTAGTTCTTGTGCTGTTCACTTCAGCCGTAAAGACTTCAAGAAAGGAGAAAAAGACTATAAAAGATATTGTTCATGGCACAGATTTCCTAGTGATGGCCAATATTTCAGATGTTCTATAATCTTATTAAGTTATTATAGAAATTTGAACCACAGGTAAAATGTTTTGTTGTAGCAACCTCTTCCATTCTTCAACCTTTGCTGTGATTGACTGTAATAGCTTCAATAGAATCCTGAAGATTCCGGAGATGGAGCTGACGATAGACTTGAATTACAATATGGCTCTTTTCTTTTCATCCCATGTTCACTGTCATAGTACTATGGTATATTGAATCTTACCATCTTGACATCCGTTTCCTTATCAGGTAATTTGTATGATATGAGAAGCCATTCTCTCATCATATTCAGATCACAGTTGTGAGACTGTTTTCTCTCCACCCCGTCACCCCCACCCCCACCCACACCCACACCCACACACACCCCTCCTAAATGCACAAGAGCACAGATCAAATTCATTCACCATTTTCTATTATTGACTCACATTCCGTTTTGATTGATATTTACTTCACAAACAATCATTAGCTCATCATTTTCTTTTTTTTTTTAGACATTATAAAGAACACAAATAAAACATAGTCAAATTCATTGTGTGTCCACTTCATGATGGTAACTTGATCGTTGGAAGTCCCCCGTTCGGTCTTCAGACCCAGACACAAGTTTTACACAAATATACAATTAACTGCTGTAATTTGTTGTTTTCTGTTTTATTGGAAAGTTACATTCATTTTTATTTTCCACTTGTCAAGGACTTGTCTCCAATATAAACAGATTTCAATTTTGTAAGTGAAACCAATTAGAACTTTTTGGATGAAATGCCTTATAATTCATAAAGTTCGGGAAATATTACTGAATAGTGTTAATCAGTGGCTCTATGTGTTATTAGTTCCCCATATATTCCTGATGACTTCAAATAATGGTATCAACAAAATTGTGTGTCAATGTTACATCCTGGTAATTATCATTTCATGTTGTATCATTTTTATCTCCGATATTAAGATTTGACGTACACACTCTTTACTGTTGATGTCTTTTTGTGACAGCAGTTTCTCATGGCATTTATTTGTTATTTACATATTTAAATTCAGAAAGATCTTGTTTGAAAACCGTACATATTAAAGAAATCGGGTAGCGATTTTTTTCGCCGTTGTTCCTTGTAAATGCCATTGCTTTTACGTTCTTTGACCTATGTAATGCTTGTCAGTACTGCATCTGTGGCTTCCGACCTATTTTCCCCCGAGAGTTGTAAAATGTATGTGAACGATGCCTTACATCTATCTTTTTCTCACACACCTACCTCTTTTAGTGCACTTACAAACCTGAACCGTTTACGATAATTGCCCCTTATTGTGTCTCTGATGAGATTTCATGTCTCATGGTAAACTGCCACTTCTCCACTTTACACTCCCATGTCGCCTGAATTGTAAATATTCTGGTTTATCTCGTATACTTTTCTTTCTTCTCTACAGATCTGTTATTTTTTTTTTGTAATTTTCTTTGTATGATGAGACAAATTTGATTCTATTTAACTATTTCTGTTAAATATCATATTAGACAGATGCCATTGTTTTTAACTCTGTTAACGCTCACCTTAGACCGATTCTATTGTATTTTCTATTGATGTAGAAAGATATTTCTGGAATGTTCCAGTTACTTACCATGACTAATTTCAAAACGAATCCCAGGAACCATGATGCTATGTTTTTTAATGATGTTTGAAATTGAATTGGCAGACTTTACATGAGAAAAGTATTGATAGCCTACAAATTATTGTATGGTAAATGCAGAAATCACTTCTTAGGATTTTTGGAGAGTTTAAACACAAAACAAATATTTTCATGGTTGTGTGTTTTGTCATTAAAATTGATGAATTACCAATTGGTTTGGGTGTAATTTATCATTCACAAGTAGAAAAAGTCCATGATGTAGCTTATAATTAGCTTGAATGGATACCAAGGGAAGTACAGTTTTTCTCATGGAGGTTTCCTAAAAGGTCGTAATGTTGTTAATATGCTTTTTATGTGTGTTGCTGTTTGTGGTGCGTGGTAAATTATGAGGCCAAGCCTTTTTGTAATGTACAGTAAATGTCGGACCCATCAATTATCAAATTGTAATTAGTATGACATGTTGGTCTATGAAATTAAAGACTTAATTGATCACCTGGAACTGCAAATTAAAAAACACCGACACCAGAACTGACACATTTTTTTTTTAATAGATGTCTTATAAGATACTGTTATTTTATACAATATCTACATTTTACAATTACATAAAATCAAATGTTTGGATACTTTGATAAGTTTTCGAAATGTGAGCGAAAAGGTTGTTTGAGAAGAAAAACAGTTAAAAAAATTATGTTTTCAGTGTCAGTGTAAATCTAGGCTATCGGTGATGGTCCTTCAGTGGAATGCTTAATGTAATGTATTAAAATTTTAGCAGTGCCTCTTGTGATTTTATACACCAGAAGTATAAAAAAAATTTGATATAGTTCCCAGCCAAGAGACTGCCAACAAAATAGTTTCAAATATTGTTTGTTTATTTACATATGTTTACAATATCTCAAAATCAAAATATCTTTCGGGTTTTTTTTGTCTTTTTTTTTTTTTTCTTTTCACTGCTGGAAAAAATCAAATATTTAATTAATGTTTGCTTGTCAACAGTATATAGTCATGCTGACAGACAGTGCTGGTGTTGAATTTACGGCACAATGGCAGCACTCTGGCATATTAAATTTGGACATTTTTTTCCAAATGATATTTGTTTTAAAAGAACATTTTCTTATGACAATTCTGATTGGTTGCATGGTTATTTTATCATTTGATGACTAAATACATATTTACCTGCAGAAATGATCATTTCATAAACAACTTATCTTTGGGACAGAAAATTAATTGCATGGTTTAAATAAGTTCACACTGGAAACATGGTAGGCATCTATTTGGAAACGTGTAATTAAGAAAATGTCAAATATTAAGCATGTGTTGATATTTTTATTGTTGATAAAGTACAGATGTACAGTACAATGCCAACACAGTCCTAAAACAAGATTTGTTTCATTTTTAAAGTGTTGACGTCCTTGGTAATCTTTTTTTTTTATTTTATCCCTATTTATTTTTCAATATAATGACTAGTATGTATAAATGATCTGACCCCCTTGTCTATGTGTTGGTGTGTACTACACTGCAGTGAGATGTAAAACATCCCAGTGTCTGTGACCTATATATATATATACAGAAATAATCTATGCCAGTTTTGTTCAACTATGTATGTTTCAATCGTTGTAGAAGTTTTCTATTGATGTAATAAAAATGTAAAAATCCTCAAAAATTCTTTTTTTCCCTCTCTTTATGTCTGAGAAAAACAAAAAGTTACTGATATGTCAATGGAACCTTAATTCCAGTTCCATTAGACTACGGGAAACAGAAGGAAAATCTACACATAAACTCCTGAAAAAGTACAGGGCCAATAAGACCATGTGTTCTGGAGGATGAAGCATCTTCTGCTTATTGTGGATATCAGCAATGTTAATAGTGGTCAACCCAAGCAATCAATGTCAGGCTCCCAATCAAGGAGCAAACAACAACGGTGTCACTAGACAAAATAAGGACCCCAAGTCACTCATTAAAACCTGATATGTTACAATGTGCTGCCCTTGTCTTCTCTCTTAGAAAATCAAAGCATATAAGAATATATAGGTCAGTATAAATTTTCTTATCTCCAGCTTTCGAAAATCAATTCTCTAAACTTTTAACAGCAATCAGTAGCTCCTAACTTCTGCATACATCTACACCCTAGGCAAGTGTGATTGTGTATAAATTTGTATTTACTTGTGTGTACATTTGTATTTTACTAGTTGTGTATACATTTTGATTTATTTTTAAGACTCAAAAAATCAAATAAATATCAAATTTTCTCAAAAAATCCATTTCAATATTTTAGAATTCTTTCATTTTGAACGACTTCATTCAAATTTCTTATTTGTTTATATCGACGATTTGTATTTTTGAGGGGTGAAAATTTGAACGCAGCACTCAAGCGTATCCGGACCGGGTACGGTGTACTCCGATGGTCGATGATAAACAAGAAAACATGGCGTTCAATGTTGTGAAAGTGGAAATCGTGATTTTACTGTGGAAATTCGTCGATGCAATATATGTGTTAAGATTTGCGTTCCCTTGAATATAAATAAAAATTACTTCAGTTTTTCCCTCTCGTGAGTATCACCCCTTGTCAAACGAACCATGGGTCGAAAATTCCTGCCAAATCCCTGTGATTAGAATAATGTTAATGACGGACTACTCGAAACCTCTCTGATCACACAGAGTTACTGCCCTTAGTGCTAGATTTTCAAATTGAAAATTACGAAGCTTTGTACTACTTTATTTTGAAAGGATTCGTTATGTGTTTTTGGAGAAAAGGGGTGTATGAACACACCACCGCTGGTTAGCTAGGATTTCTTTGTTGGATCTGTACAAAGATAGTCTCCAAACCCTCATGCTGATATCCAAGAGTTACTTCCCTTCGTTTCACTCTCTTGGATGGCATAGCGATAAACGTCTAGCTCTCTGTGAAACGTCTCGGGTAAAACCGCACAAATTCGAAAAATCGGAATATACTATACCATCATGATGCGATATAAAAAGTAGAAGAAATTAACATGAATGGATAAAAAGATCTGAGCACGGATTATCCATTACTGTATTCAATGTTAGACAACTCTTTCGATGAGTAAGCACATGAAAGACTGAAACTTTTCTACATTTGTAGTAATGTTTATTTAAATGTCAGGTTTTAGAAAGTCGGTTAAAAGTAAAAAAAAATCAATATGTTATTGTCTTTCTTATTTAGGCGTCAGATTATGTTATAGATAATATTTCATTTTCACATAATATTTCAAGTACAACTATCCGTACGTGTATAAAAGTGCAAGTTATTACTTTGGAATTAATTAAATTCATTACATATATGTCCTCTTTCCCTGTTAAATATGATCGTCATACACCCTTGGAGATTTTTTTTCCACATTAACTTTCGATATCCCGATGTGACCAAAGTTTCAGAAGGTGAGTGCTGCTACTGACACGTGTGCAACCCCACCACAATACCCACACCTACAAACCCGCTGAGAAATAGGCAAGACTTACAAAACCGATGTACGTTCGTGTCGGGATGGCGTCGGCCAACCTGTAGTGTATACGGTCCGTGTACCGATTCCTATCAGTTTGTGTCAATAAGTCGGACATCTCGTGCTGACACAGCCTGTATCGTCAAGATCGACCCCTGCTACAGCCGCAGTTAAAAACAGATTTTCCCTCGTTATACTACTAACTCGTAAACATTGGGGTAATTACGCCTGATTCACAGGCAAATGAAATTCATTCTCTCACTTTCTGTCTTCTTTAAGAGAATCATTTTGTGGTCAGCGTAGTCAAACGTGAAATTAACCCACGCGCTAATCTCACAAGTAATTCTGTTCGTTCTTGTGAAAAAGATGCACATAATTCACACTAGATTGCAAACGCCTTGGTAATTTATATCATTGTGGAGCTTAAAAATATAAAAACAGAAAAGATACCAAGCATTTTGGTTTAAAATAAAAGTTACCGTTAGATATATATTGTTGTTGTTGTCATAACTGCATGCTTATCCTTGTATAGAGTACGGAACTGTGATAGCTCTATGAAGATCCAGAATGCGCGGTCGATCCTTACACGAGCCGGGGCGGTTTACGTTTCTCGGCAATTCTCATGACGTTACGGATTGTCATATGCTATTGTGGTTGTTCCCAACGCAGCCTATTTATTTGATTAGCCCTGGATAAATTGCGATGGGCCTTCTGCATTTTGCTCAGTAATGTAGTCACCAGCTGTTATAAGGAGAAACCTGCCTATTAAATCAGAGCCAGTCTTAAAAGTAGGAGACTCTAATAAGAGAGAATATTGAAAATACAATTTTATAATTTGTAATATATTATTATCACCACAAACACTGACAACGCTTAGGTAGACTGTGACCGAATTCCACCCATGATAAAATTTACATCACTGATGATTCGGATACAAATTTTGAAATTTCATGATTCTTTATTTAAAAAACGACAACAGAAGGGGGCACAATATACATCTCTGGGGAACTCCAGCAGTAATAGCTCCTTAAAACGGATTGAGCTCAATGTTGTAAGATAGTCGAGAATCTTGTTTTACATTGTGTAATATACAGTTATCGAACGCCGGAGGAAATGTCACTTTCTGGGGTTGATAGTCATCGTATTTACCTAAAAACATGTCGATAACTGTTTTATTATGACATATCCTAAGTATTTTCAATTGACAAAATGATTTCCTGTCATTTGAGAGCGGTTAGCTATAAAACCTTTCATATCAAAGTCCACACTAAAAAACTGATATGATTTTGAACTTAATGGATAATCAAATATCGCTGAAAATTCAAGAAATTTAGTAGGAAATACAAGTACATAATGGTGTACAACACCAGTTCATTTACCCTTCTCGCCTCAACATCAAATTTCAACAATCTATCCGCTTCAGCACTCGGTATATTTTTACAATCGGTTGGGTTGATTTTTTTAAACGTTTTTTTCCCAATATATTACCTAAAACGTTCACTGCTATATCTGTTGCCTTTCTCGTGATTTGTTTTATGTTTTACTTCCAACAATAATGCGGGAGGGGGTTTTAGAATGACTTAACTGGATAACCCTTCTTGTTACAACGTTACTACCAAAATTCCATCAATGTTCTACTGTCCCTGGTTGTAGGTGACATCCCTGGGGTAGTGTGTGAGGTTAGTGATTTAAGGGCACTCCCCGACTCTTCTATGGTCCCGTCCCATCGACTGCTTTCCATTCGGAATACCTGTTTGTGGACATATTCTTTCCGTGAAGGTGAAGTACACGAAGTCTCCTAGCTGGGCCTCTTACATAAGACGTGTCCTTCCACATAGTACTTGAAAGCATATTCAGGACTATACTATGACAAGTCACAAGTTGCTTGGAAGGGACACAGAATGCAGGTCTACAAAGTACCAGCCCCTCTCTGACTGTAGGGTTCAGGTGTTCCCGGGGTAATAACAGTGGTACCATCTACTTGCTTATCCTGTCTCTTGTGATGGGCCTCTTAGTTGCAACATTGTGCATGGACAGAAAGTCCCCCATCATATTCCGGTGGTAATATATCATATTCTGCTGTAGACAACCGAATCATTACCCAACTTGTCTTCATCATAAGTCTCCTATTTCAAACACTACTTCTCTAATGGCCAATATCAAAGATTTCAAGGGGCCTGGGGAAAAGAGGCTGAATTCCCCTGTATATCACACTCACCTGCGGGGACTGTTTTGGTGAAGGAACGTATAGCCCTGGTCTGGTATCATGTAGAGTTTTTAAACCGTCTGGTGCAGACTGGGTATCCGAAACACCGTGACAAGTATAATGTTAAGGAAGTTGCTTAACACGGTATAAAAGATCTGTGAGAGATCTAGTGAAATCATGTTTAGGATGTTTTTGCCAAAATATCTTCCATTCTAATAATCCGTGCACCTGCGTCATTTCGTAACGGGTGGTGTGCACTCATGCATGCTTTGTCTATTGTTCTTAGTCAACCGAAGTACGAATTGAGTTGTTCTCCGGATTTGTTAGAGGTATAAGAAGATTGCGGTTTACAAACAAACAATTCATATTCATTAACGACAGCATAAATAGACAGAACACAGGTCGCAGTAGAAAACATGTGATGCTGATGAAAACAGTGTGGGGGGTGGGGCTACACATTTGCTATCTTGTCCGTGCCATACTACAGGTTTTCCTTGTTTCCCTCATCAAATTCAAATATAGGTCATTGTGACCTACATTTTCACCTTTGACCTACACCAAAGAAAAACTTTGTCCTGTCCCTATCTGCTACAGTAATATCTGTGGGAACTTAATACTTAGAATATTAGTTCACCTTGGTGACATGGCGTGTCGCATATCAAAAGTAGGTCACGTTGACCTATATATCTACATTTGACTTACATAAAGAAATTGCCTGGGCTGTCACTGGAACTTCATACTTTGGATATGGGTTCACCCTAATTATGCGACGTGTAGCAATTCAAAGTAGGTCAGTCTGACCTAAATTTTGACCTTTGTCATATACCAAAGAAAAAAATGGATAGGCTTAATCTCCTATACTCCTAGTCACTGGAACTTCAAACGTGGTCTATGGGCTCACTTTAATGAGACGATGTGTCATTAGGTGACTGATTTACTGAATCATCCTGCTACTCATCCTACGGGTTGTTGCAATTTTACCACTTTTCAATTTTCCGATTTTTTTTCACCTTGCACATCATTCTCTTTTCTTTCTTTGAAACAAATGATACATTTTTGTTTGTTAGTTTGCTTTGGTTTTCTTTTAAAGATCAATTACATTAAACACAAGACACATCCATTTAAACGTACTCCAACATATCATCATCATCAGCAGCAGCAGCAGCAGCATCTTTTGTTTTTCCTTTTTCTTTCTAACGGAGATATTATAATTGTCGTGACGACAGAGGAAAACACTATCTGAGAGACGCGAACATTCAGGCTTCTGACACGTCAAACGTTCTCTAACCATGAATCACGATTTCGCTTGGGTGTTTCTTTGGTGAGATCACTCGGGTTTTTCAAATATCTTTTTTATTTGTTTGATTGTTTTTTAAATATAAATTCAATTTTGTTGTGTATTGCGAATAAAAAAACATAGAGCCACGGAATTTATTCACGCTAATTTGAGTATTGAGCCGGTTTAACGGCTAAAGGGAGATAACTTGAACTAAATTTGATGTTCTAAGTTAATATATTGTATTTAGTGGGTTTTTTAAGCTACGGTTAATATAAGTACGTATGTTGACGCACATCAGAAAAAATCTTTATGAAGGCCTTTTATCATGTCCCTGTGATAGGCACGTGGTAATGAGCTACGCTAATTTTGACTTTCCGAAGTAATAGACCTTTGTTATCGCTTAGTTATGTAATGAACACATTTATGAGCCCTGGGTTATGTTACTAATGTCCATTTACAACAATTAGATGAGTTTCAGTCTCTGCGAAATTACAAATGTACGTTTGCCTTTAGGTTAAAATCACGAGTTTCCTGGCTCAAGCACCTGTATTACGGTAACAACTCCAACATGATTGTGATATTATACTGGCAAGACTCTTATTTTTTCTAGTTATTTAGACAATGATGACGTGTCTTTAAAATCGCTGACACTCCAAAGCTATGCCGTCTTCAGAGTTATAAAAGATCCGGAGTAATGGTGTTATTTTCATACCAGAACCTGATCACCAGGAACCCACGTCACTTAGATGTATGACACACTCCAGCACGAGAAGCGGATTCTGCAGACAAATTCTGTTTATCACGGACGTTACATACATTCCAACATTGTTTTGTTGTCTGGTCTGAGTTAGTATATAATTATCCACGCACGGCGCTATTGATGACAAGCATTTATTCCTATCCTCAACCCCCTCCCCCTCTCCCCTACAACCTTTCGTCTACACCCCTAGAGGCGCTTCACCTGCTGAAAAGTGTTTCTCTTCCCCTTTCCCATCCCACCGCTCGACTTCATCCCCAGACAGTAGTAACCGGTTACAACATAAACCATTTCCTTGTGATTGACGGCCTGATATGATAAGATTCCTTATCATCCAGCGTAGTCTCTGTACAACCAAACTATATATAATACGGAGGATTTTTTTTATCCAACAGTGTGTGTGTGTGTTATATCCTTCTTGCTTCTCATTCGTTGTCGTTCTTGTTGTTCATTAAATGTCGTTGTTGCTGTTGCAGCTGCTGCTGAGGTTGTTGTTGGTCCGAGGCTTGTTATTGTTGTTGTTGCTGCTGGAGCTACTGTAGTTTGTTGGTCCGAGGCGTGTTGTTGGGACCCTATTGGAGGCGATTTGTAATGTCGTATTATATATCGTCGTAATTATATCCATTCGCAAGACTCTTTACCTTAATTGCCTTAAATAGCACACAATGGACCTTCCGCATGATGATCAGTCAGGTAGCTTCCAGCAATTACAATAAACTACAACCTCAAAATGGCACTCTTTGTGTCAAATTGTGAAAATGGAGAAAAAGTGTTCGAAAATTTGATATGATATATTAATTGAGTATTATAATGCTTTCTTTAAAATAATGTAAGTTATGGGAAGAAGTATGTAGATATCAACACATGTTACTTGGGTGTACATATGGTGTTTTCTCAAGAAATTCTTGTTATTAGATTCTATAATATATCAACGTATACATATTTATAGAACTGTTTTCTGCAATGTATTGTGAGGGTATTAGGTAATGATAATCCCCAAGGCTTTAAGTTTTAATAATATAGTGAATACCAAACAAGCCCTCCCTACACCCTAGGTCGCCAGAGACACCTATGATTAAATCCGTTATGTGTACAGCAAATACCAACAAACCTGTTGTGCTAGAAAGGATTATTGAATAGTAAACAATACTAATCAGTGATGTTTATCTTTATCGAGTCGCCAATTTATGACACCCTGGCCACTTGAACTATGTGGACTCTATATAAAACTTGAAGGGTTTGAGCTTTTGAAAATTCCACTGTGTGTTTGTAGGTCAAAAGACAGACACGTGTCCAGGCTTAAACGAAAATTCTCTTACTCGAATTTTTCAAACCATTGTGACAAGTAGAATAGCCTTTTCATGAAAATTTGAGAGAAAAAAGAAGATGAAAATAAAAATGATAGTGATTCAAGTCTGAAATCTTAGAGAGTGTTTTGTTACAACTATTACATGTATTTTACCATTGTCCACAAGATCATTACTTTAATATGAGAAAGCATTTCTAGCTTATTTTTTGTTACATAAAAGTTTTAATTTGCTGGAGAGAAAAAAAATCTGTAAATTTAAGATTTGATAAAGAATTTAGGTTTAGGTGAAGACAAGAAATCTGTATAAATGTCTAAAAATAACTTGTTTTTGATTGATGTAGATTCTTACATATCTACACATAAACAGATAAGCTGATTTATGTCTATTCTAATTAAGTCTTACTCCGTTAACCATCCAATAGGCTCTAGCCTGATCTATGAATGAATGATAACACATATCCGCATTCCAAAAGCACGCGCATGACGTAATGCATATTCCGAATTGCTATATATATTTGTGAATAATATATGTAGAACTTAAGATTTTTTTTAAATCGCTGACATACAAATCATAGTTAATAGATGGTGCAGTCAGACTTCTGATAACTCCCCTCTCCACCGAATTTACCAGGTTTGTCGAACAAAGCCTCCTACGCCTGCGGGTGATTCATAATACACACGGAATGCAACTTTCGTGTGTAAGTACATCGTTGTGATTTATCGATAGATTTGTTGGCGATACAATCACGCTCTCGCACGGGAGAGAAAGAAAGATCAGGAAAAATTACTGTTGTGCACAAGTCCCGACCCTTCGCCTGACCTGAACAAAAGTGATGCGTGCCATTCTCTCTCTCTTTTTCTGTGCCCCCGCGGATGTGTAAGTTAGTCACGCCGTTGCTCAGTTGATGTGTGACACTGGGCTAATATGAAAGCGATATCGGTGCGCTGAACTATATTTAGTTAGCGTAAGTGTGTAGACGAGAGCCGGTGTTTGGTTGTGTATGTAATATGCACCATGTCTATTTGAAATGATATTCGTCATTTTTATCCAATGTCAACATAACCTACCTTTGGAGTTTACCGCGAGGATTTAAATCAACACGACCCTGTGGAAAATCAATTCTGGATAAATGATAGTGAAATTTAAAAATATGTTCGGACGTGAAATGAAAATTCTATTTTTTCTTTCTTTGTGTTGTGTGCTTGTTCGTATGCAGGAAAATGATTGTCCGACAAAATGTGTGTGTTTTCGGACGACAGTGAGATGTATGTTTCTACAACTGGACACAATTCCGTCTCCTCTACCTTCGGATACAACAGTTTTGTAAGTATACCTATGAGAAACCTTTAATACATATACGATGTCGGACCCCCTTTAATACCTTTTCGGTACTTGAATGAAAGAAAAATTTAATAAAAGAATTTTTATAGGGCCTTTATCAGTACACATTCTATAGAACAGTAACGACCTTTTGGCGAATAAATCCCCGCTAAGAAGCCAGACAGATAACTACAGGAGGGTTACCGTGCTCCAACTATCAGTCAACTCATCTACATATTTCAACTCGCGGGAGCTTGAATAAGTCAGGATTTTACCGTCGTTAAGTTACTTTTTTCTGAATACCGTCTACCTTATCATTAAGCATGAAATATGTGTAGGATAAAAATCATTGAGAGACTTGTCAAAATTATAGAGTTCAAGTAACACATGTTAAATGGTTTGGGTTGGAAAAACAGCTGTATTTTGTCACAAACCACTCTCTTTGCCAAGCACCGACAATGTTTGTAGCTACGAAAACACATTGGAGGTTGTGGGATTTCGTAGGCATTAAAAAGTGATTTTGTTAATCATTGCTAATGTCTTAAAGATGAGTCGGGTCTTCCAAGGTACTTCTGTTTATTTATATTAACGGCAACGTACAAGGTTGTCTCGTGAAAAAAATAGCTGACTAGGGCACTTCTTCGTGCGGTTAAGACTATTATCACAACCTATAATTGTATACTATTTACTGTCAAACAAAATATGTATAATTGTCATTTCGATATATGATGAGTCTATTGTCCATGAGACGTGAAACAATAAGACAGTCACCTGCACACTGTAAACTTTGGCAGGTACAGAAGCTGATAGTGGGCGGTGAGGTGGGATGGTATTTGTCAAAGTAGATGAAACAGATGATTGTTTTACATGAATGATATTAATAAAGGTATAGAGAGATGATTAGGAGATCAGAAATTTGTCTAGGACTGTTGAAACGGAGAAATAAGAGATCAGATAAGTTTAACAACTAAACGTATTTATAACCCATTAAAGATTACCACACGTACATAGCATATGACTAGATCTTGATCTACACGGATTTAAACGATACAGTCTGTATATATACCAGTCCTTAGACAGGGATCGTGTTTTTACATTTACTGTATAAACAGACTTATAAAATGTTGTATGATTTTGGTTAATTTTATAAAATGGTAGAGATTTGTCAAGACGTTGTGATGTTTTATGTGTGTGTGGCTCTACATGAAATCAAACGAAAAGAAAGAAAAATAGCAACCACAGAAATACCGAAAGAAATACAAACTAGATTGAAGAAAGAAAGAAAGGAAGGACTTTTGGTTGAGAGAGGAGTACATAGGGAGAAAGAAAGAATTTCTGGTTTAGAGATGAGTTTGTGAGGAGATGGGGCGTTGGATCAAAAGTTGAAGATCACATCCGGTGGTACAGTTGAGAATGTGGGTAAAATATTTCATGACGTGTTGGGAAGGAAATCGAACGTTGAACTTGTATCAAGTTGAATGAAACCTTTTTTTGTCCTAACGAACGTTTACACCATAATACAGGACACCGTGCAAACCATACGGATTACTCATCCACTTACATTTCAAGTGAATGATTAATGTTTTGTGTAGCACCAGTTGCCGATAGCTGAATTTTTGTGTAACAAAGGACCCCGTTATACATTCTTCTCTTTCGGATGAGAAATAGTGGGCGGGATATGTCCCTTAGGCTGGTCAAGTGTCATTGGTCAAAGATCGACTTAAGGGACTTTTGCTTGACTGTGCGGTCATACAAATAAAACTCATCCAAACCCATATAGAAAGTTTACAATCTAAATTTTCTGTATCATTTTGATAAAAGGTATTATATTTCATGCCAATTTAAAATACATTTGTAAAAGTAATTGACCAAGAAATTGACAAGGCAAGACTTCATTACTTCATGTTTTTTGTGAAATTGTGACTTCATTGTATGAAATCTACACCCAGTGTGCAATTTCAATTTCATTTTCATTTCAAAAGCCATTTATTTTTTAAGTTTGGTATTGGGAACATTTTATAAACGGAGAAATAAGATGGTGATTTTACATTACAATAACTCAAGCAAGTTCAGAGTTCTGTGTATTTTATATCACCTTCTCGGCATGGTATATAGACCTACTTGCGTGACTCCCGGGAATCCTTTTACTCGATACGCTGTAATTGTAACACTCACACTTCTATAGCATACCTGTCTACATGTACATGTTGTTACAGGTAACGTATACAGGTGTGTTGTACAGGTGAGATGGGATGTACATGTGATAAGTAAAGTGAATTTACCTGACATATATTGCTGTCTATCATTGATAAGTACATTTACTGAGAGTAAATAAAGAATTTGACAAAAATGATCCCGACAAACTTTTGAGGCACAGATCTTTATACATTCTATTCAAACGTCAGTGTAGTTGTGGTTCGGGTTCGAATACACATTTCAGAAGAATAGGAAATAGAAAATAAGATTAAAAAGGTATGATATATCAGTATGATGTATATATATTTTCGACCTTAGTGGACATAGGATTATAGTGCAGCCGAAAAAGTTGGTCGATTCCATACCATCTCGTGCACTACATACGTCAGTGCTAGTACGCTCCACACTCTAATCTTCTACTGGTTGTGTTATAAGATGAAGGTGACCTTGTAGTCATGAAAACGTCACACTCTAATCTTCTTCTGGTTGTGTTAAAAGATGAAGGTGACCGTGTAGTCATTGAAACATCACACTCCAATCTTCTACCGGTTGTGTTATAAGATGAAGGTGACCGTGTAGTCATCGAAACGTCACACACTAATCTTCTACTGGTTGTGTTATAAGATGAAGGTGACCGTGTAGTCATTGAAACATCACACTCTAATCTTCTACTGGTTGTGTTATAAGATGAAGGTGACCGTGCAGTTATCGGAACGTCACACTCTACTCTTCTACTGGTTGTGTTATAAGATGAAGGTGACCGTGCAGTTATCGAAACGTCACACTCTAATCTTCTACTGGTTGTGTTATAAGATGAAGGTGGCCGTGCAGTTATCGAAACGTCACACTCTAATCTTCTACTTCTATTCTATTGACATTACTAACCTGAAGAAATTGTTCCAAAAAGTATGATATGCAGTTATTATATATAGGTGTTATATATAGCTATACTATATAGGTATGACATACAGATGATGTGATACATAGGTATGACGGGGATACTAACAGGGACACTGACGGGGACACTGATAAGGACACTGACAGGGACACTGACAGGGATACTGACTTGGACACTGACGGGGATACTGACAGGGATACTGACAGGAATACTGACAGGGACACTGACGGGGATACTGACAGGGACACTGACAGGGACACTGACGGGGAAACTGACGGGGACACTGACGGGGACATTGACGGGGACACTGACGGGGACACTGACGGGGACACTGACAGGGATACTGACAGGAATACTGACAGGGACACTGACAGGGATACTGACAGGGACACTGACAGGGATACTGACGGGGATACTGACAGAGATACTGACTTGGACACTGACGGGGATACTGGCAGGGACACTGACGGGGACACTGACGGGGACATTGACGGGGACACTGACGGGGACACTGACGGGGACACTGACAGGGATACTGACGGGGATACTGACGGGGATACTGACGGGGACACTGAAGGGGATACTGACAGTGATACTGACAGGGACACTGACGGGGAAACTGACGGGGATACTGACGGGGTCACTGAAAGGGACACTGACAGGGACACTGACGGGGATATTGACGGGGATACTGACGGGGACACTGACAGGGATACTGACGGGGATACTTACGGGGATACTGACGGGGACACTGACGGGGACACTGACGGGGACACTGAAAGGGACACTGACAGGGACACTGACAAGGATACTGACATGGATACTGACAGGGATACTGACGGGGACACTGACGGGGATACTGACAGGGATACTGACAGTGATAGTGACAGGGACACTGACGGGGATACTGACGGGGACACTGACAGGGACACTGACGGGGATACTGACGGGGATACTGACGGGCACACTGACGGGGATACTGACGGGGATACTGACGGGCACACTGACAGGGATACTGACGGGGATACTTACGGGGATACTGACAGGGATACTGACGGGGACACTGAAGGGGATACTGACAGTGATACTGACGGGGACACTGAAGGGGATACTGACAGGGACACTGACAGGGATACTGACAGGGACAGGAATACTGACAGGGACACTGACGGGGATACTGACAGGGATACTGACAGGGACACTGACGGGGATACTGACAGGGATACTGACAGTGATAGTGACAGGGACACTGACAGGGACACTGACGGGGACATTGACGGGGACACTGACGGGGACACTGACGGGGACACTGACAGGGATACTGACGGGGATACTGACGGGGATACTGACGGGGACACTGAAGGGGATACTGACAGTGATACTGACAGGGACACTGACGGGGAAACTGACGGGGATACTGACGGGGACACTGAAAGGGACACTGACAGGGACACTGACGGGGATATTGACGGGGATACTGACGGGGACACTGACAGGGATACTGACGGGGATACTTACGGGGATACTGACGGGGACACTGAAGGGGATACTGACATGGATACTGACAGGGATACTGACGGGGACATTGACGGGGATACTGACGGGGACACTGAAAGGGACACTGACAGGGACACTGACAAGGATACTGACAGGGACACTGACGGGAATACTGACAGGGACACTGACAGGGATACTGACAGGGACACTGACGGGAATACTGACAGGGATACTGACAGGGACACTGACAGGGATACTGACGGGGATACTGACAGGGACACTGACGGGAATACTGACAGGGACACTGACAGGGACACTGACAGGGATACTGACGGGGATACTGACGGGCACACTGACAGGGATACTGACGGGGATACTGACAGGGATACTGACAGGGATACTGACAGGGATA